TCTCCTGTCCTGTCTGTGGCTGGGTGCAGCAAGGGCTGGCTCTTCCCTTGCGGCTGGGGAGCTGCAGGAGCTCCCGATGGTGGCAGGGCACGGCCTCCCTGGCCAGGGCCCATCCCACCACCCCACAAGGGAGCCAGGCAGGCCCAGAGATTGTGACCAGGTTCAGCAATGAGTTCAGATCATCAGGCATGTTCATGGTGGTAAAGCAAGCCGAAGTTCAAGTTGTGAAGTCAGTCTGCAGGTGAGGGTTAGGATCAGGTCCAGTGATTTGCCAGGGCGGTCCATGGGGACAAGGCAGGGCTGAGGCCAGGCTAGGTAGTCAGCCTGTGGGTCTGGGTCAGGCTTAGTGAGGACAGCTGGGGTCAAACCCAACACTGATGGTGAGGCTGGGCAGTGGTGACAGGGCCTGAGTGAGACAGGAGGGTTGGCCTGCGGGTCGGGTCAGAGGGGCCCAGACATCTAAGAATGTCTTTTTTTGCAGAGAACAAAATGTTGGAACAGCCTAAGGAAAACATACCTAAACTCTTAACTTTGAGAGGTTACGGTGCTGCTTTAGCAGAAGGCAGACATTGCAGGGAGGGTAAGCACTGATGTTATTCCAAGTTTGACATACACATCAGTCTCCTACTTGAGGCTTTATTATCCCTGTAGATGGTACAGACATTCAAATTTAATCTTGACGTGCCTTTCCAGGTTGCTTTTATTGCCGCTAAAAATAGGTGATAAAGATACGAGGATCAAGACCAGTGTTACTGAATGCTGGAGTTAGTCCTACATTAGATGCATAAGTGACATTTATCCTTCCTGAATTGTTTCAACTTTTGAAATTATAGGCAGACTTTTTTTTTTAAGTAGAGATAGTTCACATTTAATAGTCCTTTTGAATGAAAAAGTTAAGACTTCTTATTGAAGAAAACATAATTTTGAAGTGGTATTATAAAAAAGAAAATAGTACTTAAATCAAGCAAACTGCTGTTGGTTTGTTGTCAGAGAAGAAAAATGGGAAGTGTCTGAGACCAGTTACTGTGTGTAACTGATGTGACGATCTTGTGAATATCTTGGGGAGTTACTGTTAAGTCAGTTGGCTAAGCCTTTCTGGCCTTCAAGAGAAAGGGAGGAACAGAGGTGGAAAAAACAAATATAGCTGAGTCCCTGGGAAAAGAGAAGTTTTGTTTCCACCAGACATATGACTGATCTATATTTCACCTTGTTCTGCTGTATGGTTTGCTGTGGAGACAAATTTTCTGTAAAATGTTGAATTGGTTATTATAACTCTTGTTGGAAACCTCCTTCACCTCCTTCACACCAGAAGGTGTGAACCTTTTACCTTCTTTCTTGTCTGTTGAAACTTTGTATCTTGCTCATAATTATGATGTTGGCCTTTTTTTTTTTTTTTTGAATCCAAGGTAACATTTTTGAAAAAAAATCTTATTTTCTTCTTCAAGGTATGGAATATATGAACGATGTAGAGAGTTGGTAGAAGCAGGTTATGATGTACGGCAACCAGACAAAGAAAATGTAACACTTCTCCACTGGGCTGCAATCAACAACAGGATAGATTTGGTGAAGTATGTATTACATTTGAACTTAAACATCAATTAATTGTGTCCTTAAAAATGTTGGTGTTTCTTTATGGTGTTAGTCTTAATTATCTCATACTCAATTTTGGGCCTTGAAATTCAGCGAGGGGGAAATAGAAGACTTAATCTGCACTTAATAATGATGTGATGCTGCAGTGAACAGAATTAAAACCTGTTAAATGTCCAGTAGTCAGGTTCAAGCATTTTTCAAAGAAGATAAGCCTGTGAAACAGTTGTGTGCAATTTATTTATCTATACTGTGGAAGTCTCATTGCAATATCAAACTTCCCTTTGAGGAAGGGAAACCTGATGCATAGTGGTAGTGAATTTTTTTAATAGGTATGATTAATATAATAAAGGAAGCTCCTACTTAATTCGTCCTTTTGTCTGTATCATTTCAAGAAGCCCTGACTTAACTTCTTTGCATTTTAAAAACAGATTTGCTGCAATAGGTAATGCTGTAGCACCTCTCCTTTTAAGTAATAATAAAAAAAAGTATTTAATAGTGAGAGCTGTGGAGCTTGGGCGGGCTTTGTGTGGTGGGTGGGTGGGTGACATTCCCTCCCCCCCCAATTTGTAAAATCCAGACCATTATGTGTGAGGTTATGGTTTTGAAGTGTATTATTAGCTTTCGGAACCCTGAAAGCTTAAATCCTGAAGGGATAAATCTTAGTATTTGCTATTTCACAAATCAGAAATATGAATTGAACATGATCCTTTTTTCATAACACTAACAAAATGATGAACTAAATACATGCCATTAAACCTAAATACATAAACTGTTGTTGAGTCAGCAGGACTCTGGAGTATTTGGCATAAACTGCAAACTTTGGATCAGTCTAGTTTTCAAAATAGTTCTCATTAATCAATGGGTGTATATATTTGCACATGAAAAATACAGAACAGCTTCATTTAAGCTCATTCTCCCTACGTATGCCTTATCACCAGAGCCTTCATCAGACCAGATCTTGAGTACCATGAAGTTTCCTGAAGATCTCAAGTTCAGATTTCTTTTAAGAGGACTTCTTTTGTCCCAATGTGGTTCCCTTAAAGTAAAAGAACATTAAATTGCTGAAGATTTCTAAATAACTCTTTCTAGAAGATTTTATTGTCCTCAGTGGATGGTACAACAGATTTTATATCTTTATTGTGGATAGCAGGTTATAAAGAAACCCATAATTTTGCATTTGGATAGCCTCCTTTCTTTAAAAGATAAGTAACAGTCTCCGTCCTTCTGGTACATTAAGAAGAGATCCATTTGCAAAAAGTGACAGCAAAATGCAAGACCCGGATTTAGCTTGTTAACTTTTTTAGTAAGAGAATATTTTAGACCCTGTTATTTTTTCCTTTTTCATTATATTTTCCGTGGGGGTTGTCTTGGGTCTTTCATGGTTAGCATCTTACAATGTGGTTTGAAATAATTGAAATACCTATAATTTTTCAGATCACTATTTTTCTGCAGTAGAAGTGCAGCATCTGAAAGCAGTTATATCTTAAGCTCACTTTTCTGTCCAAGTTGGATGTGTAATTGATTCATTGCACGTAATTCATCATCTTATGTCAGCTGTTTGAAGACGTATTTGCATTACAGATGTTCCATGTCACTTGACATGTCTTTATAAAGTTTGAAAACTGAATGGCATTGAGACAACTATCATCTCATTCATAAAAAGTCATTATGACATGGGGCACTTGATAAAAATAGATCTATATTGTGGATAAAGATGGAAGCCACTGTATTTATTAACTTAGCAGTGAACCTGCCTGCATGATACCTGGTTGCAGCTTAATGCTCTACTTCACTAGCCTTATATTTAATCTACAGCTTTTTTGATTAACCCTTGTTTTGGGACCTTTTGGCATTCACAGAGTAAAATCCAAGAAGTTTTAAATTCCCTATTAATCTTCTGTTGTAGCTAAACTTTTGAAAGAAATAATTTAGCATGTGAATGTTTTGTGTCCTATTGTACAGTTGTGTTACCTCAAAGCTTGTAACTAATAGAACTGTTTGTTACAACTATTGTATTGCAAATAGAGGTGGTCCAAAATCACCTTTGAATTTGGATAGATGAAAGTCTGCTCTCAAATCTATGTCTGATTTTCCAATTTGTTCCTGATTATATAAATAGGGAGATGTCTCCACCTGCATTTGAGTACTGAAAACTTTTGTTTTGAGACGTTTGTGTTCAACCTAACTGTAATGGTGCTAGCCATGTCTTTTTCAAGCTCTTTCAGTACCTACCCCTGGCAATTGAACGTTCATAAACCTAATGTGTCTAACTTGCCCTTTTTCTTCAACAATGTGGCAGTGGTCGTGTCCCTTTTTAATGCATCTCTGCTAGTGTGGCGTACTGCAGTGTATTTTCTTACTGTTTACCAGAGTGTGCCCTTTTTCCTCCTCTCCCCAGACTACTAATATGTTTAATTGCATCTAAAATTCTTTCTTCCTGATAGGATTATTACTCTCTCTAAGCATCTCTGTCTTCAGGGGTCTCAAGTTATTTTAGCTTTTGTCATATTGAGTCTTTTTTTCTGAGACACTGGATTATTCCATTTACTCAGAAGGAAATGATTCTTCTTTTTCTTGTTTGATCTTATTGCAACATCTTTCCCCAAGTTTCCAGTATGTGTCTGCTGTGGGCGTAGTGGGCAGTTCCATTAAGTGTGCTGGCTGCTGGGCTTGATAGCAGAGACAGTCTAGGTGCAAGTGGTCTGCCCTCTTGGTTCCAGATCAGAGTTCTGGGTGCTGATTGTACAAGGTCATCGCAGTGAAGTGGGTTTGTAGCTCATCTGTGGAGGGTTCAGACCTAGAAGTAGACTTCTCCTGTTTCTTTTTACTAATCTTGTCTGTTGTGAGACTTTGTGATTCAGTTTGGATACCAGTAAAGCACATTGTTCCTACAGAAATGAGAAAGGGTTCTGCCAAAGATAAACGTCAGACCTCTGTAACATATCATATTTTCTCCATGGAACTGATTCATTATTTTGCTTTTGACGGGGTTTTTTAGAGAGGCACACGTTGGCCTAATTTGCTCTGTGGTTACCCAGTGACTGCATTTCGCTATTCCATTTATTGACGGTTTCCACAGACAAGGGTCTGTTGTCCTTTTGCTCTTCTTAGCAATACTGAATGCATGTACTTTAATCCCCAAACTACTGAATCCAAGCAGGGGCGGTTTTCTGATGCTTAGCAAAGATTATTCTAATGTGGAGATCACTGAAAATATTTTCTTCCTAAGGCAATGTTTTACCAGGTCTGCTTGTTTCAAATGCAAGTAGATTGTTTAAATTGTGTTTGCAGGCGTGGCATCTTTAAGCATGGATGCCTAGATGACTAGCTGAGAGTAGAATCAGCCAGCTGACCCTTTATCAGGGCCATTCTCATCCAGCACGGATGTGATTCAAATGGAAAGAGCTATCTAGACAAGATTAAGTTCTCAAATAGTGAGATTTTTTTCTTCAAAACCAGTCTATGTGTACTGAAGCTGAAATCGTGATAAATCTCAGCTTATTTCATGTTCCCTTGAGGGTGTTCTAGACTTTTATCTGAATACATTATCTGGCAGGGGATGGTCCCCTTGTCTTTCCCCAGTTGTCAAACCACAAGTTCTTCATTTTAAATAGAATAAACTAACCCCTAAGCAATGTTGCTACTCCGTAGAATCTGAATATAGACTCTTTCTGCAGGGACCAGTGTATGAACGAAGGTAAATATGCTTAGTGGTCACCTTCCTATAAGTGGTTATCACATCGATGAGGTGGATCAAAACTTTGACTGTGAATTTCTCTATGCTTTGTTTTCTCTAGACAAGGTTCCCTTGAGAATTCTTTCCCAAGATTGACTAAATCATCTTCTCAGTGTCTTCCACATTTGTTCTTTGGTTGCTGAGACTTCACTTCACAATAAATGAAATAGTCTTGTCTCCTTACCTGCAAAGAATAAATCTTATCTTTTCGTCTACACAGGACCAAGCCTTTCAGTCTTTGGCTCTTTTTGAAAAATCCGAAAGTTTAATAACTTCAGCAAAGATATTGCAATTTGGCTGTTGATATCTGAGGCCAGTTGAGCAGACTGTCCTGCCAAAGCAGCAGGACAGCAGGATTAGCAATAAGACCTAATTATACCAAAGCTGTATAACATTGGCACTTCTGCTGAAGAGCATCTTCATTTCTGGCACTTCTAAAGCAACCATATGAAAGGATTATCCTGTAGGGTTTTTTAGCATGGATGTTGTAATGCATTTTTTCAGTTGCTGTTCCTATAGGTAACTTGTGGGCTGTTTTGAAGTTCCACTCGGTGAAAACTGAGCTCAAGAAGTAGTAGTTATTTAGCAGTAATGCGTTTTTCAGATTGTTTTGTTTGTTGCCCTTCTTGCCCTCAGTCTTGAAATACTGAGAGGAGATTGAGGGACCATAAGCTCTGTGCTGGGAATTTAAAGGGCAGTTTGTGTGGGCAGGAGAGTAGGGTTCATACGTACCTTAAAGGTGGTATGACGGCAAAAGTCCACAGGGACAAGTACTTGACATGTACAAGCATTTATGAACCTATAGCTAGATTGTACTTTTCAAAGATCTATTAGTAGCAGCTTTTTTCCACTGGCTTGCACAGCACTGAATAAAGAACCAGTATTCTAAGTTTTTGGGCTTTTTGTTTTGTTTTTGGAAGGTCTGGTTTTTAAAAACATGATTTTTTTGTTAGGTGTGATACACGTTTTCTTTCTCAGTGGAAGAGTAATATTATTGCCAATTTAGTGACCTAGATAAAAGTAGTATGGAGAAAACAGCTTACAAAAACAATGCAAATTGACATGAATATGAATTGCTGTGGGTTAAATATGGACAATTTATTTTGTTCCTATAGGTGGCTTCTCTGCTTAAAATGTTCTTGAGGAAAAATAGCTTCTAGCCCATCACTTAAAAGTATTTTTAACGTAACTAGTGTTTTTGTCCGTTATTTATCTGTAACTGTGAAGCATCTAAAATCTTTACACTCAGCTAAAAGCATAACAAGCATTAATACATGGAACAGTGACTTCAGCTGACACATTCCAGTGCTGATACATACTGCAAGTTGAATTATATAAAATTTTATTTTGTCTTAGCAAAAACTCTCTAACTATGCCAGTGTTCTAGCAGCATTTTCTTTTACTGTTGCATTCTGAATTCTTTTTAACCTAGCAAAATCCCTTAAATCTTAAAAATGAAACAAAAATCAATTTTTATTAGATACTAATGTAGTAGCACAATTTGTCTTAACTGTAGCGTTTCTTTTTTACGTTGGAACTGAACTAGGAAATGATGGCATGTGTAAAATAATAAGAAGCATCCCTCACATCAAAAAAGGCAAAAAATCCTACGTATGTATACATGACCTTAAAGTTTGTGAAGGCAAGGAAAGGTTTGGATTTGTAGTTGTCGTTTTGTGTAAACTCAAACAAGTGTTTACTGCATGTCCTTTCTTTTTAACCAAGACAATCAAGAGTAACATTTACTTTTCTTGTTTTTCTAGATACTATATATCAAAAGGTGCTATTGTTGATCAGCTGGGAGGAGATTTAAATTCTACCCCACTTCACTGGGCAACAAGGTAGGGAAAAGTCTTCTAGGATTTCCTTTCCTGTGTTGTTTTTCTTTAACTGGAATCTGCTGCTGATTGTTTTATGAAATTCCTTTATTTTATGGAAATACTTCACGCAATAATGAATTTGGTCATTGTTAACTGGACCCACTGTGAATGTAGTTATGTTTGAGCTACAGGAGCTTTCAGCATGTGGTTCAACTTTTGTCTTATCTCCTTCTGATGTAAAGGAAGATGATCGCTATGATGGGAAAAAGTAAAGAATAATTAGAATTAATAGTCACCTTGACTTACTCTTAACTTTGGAGATCTTATTTTTGTCTCTTTTCTGGAGTTGAGCAACACTTGTGCAGGTGTGGTTTGGGACGAGTTTTGTGTGATATTTTCCTCGCAGTGGTCTATTGTATATGGACTCTTAAAGATGAACTTGAAAGAGAAAAATCAGATTTATGATGTAGGAGATGGTCCAAGAAGGATAAGGGCCTGGAAAAATAGAAGATGACTTTTTATTAGTGGCTGCTTCTTCAGACTATTGCGTAGAAATAGGCAGGAAAGGAACACTGTCCATATTATTATTCTTAACTGGACTGCAAAAGGAGGATTGTCACATTAGCTTTTAGAGCATTTAATGTATCAAAATAATTTATTTACTTAAGATGAGAACTTCCTCGTTATGCTCAACCTTTAAAGGTTTTAGCACGTATATCTCCTGGTATTAAAAATCACGCTTGACTTTCTGTGTATTAATAGTAGGAATGCTTGATGAAATTCCTTGGTGTTCGTAGCTGTAATCTGTAGTTCTGTGAAGCATTGTCCAGAGGTGATTCTGATAGACTTAAGGTCTTTTGCTGACACCGGAAACTGTATGCTGGCGATTGTGCACCTTATTAACAGCAAGAACATTCCTATTTTCGTTATGCCAAAATATATTTGAACTTTTAATGTTGTGTGGAGAACGTAGGCCCTTGGTTTTTTCTTTGTTTGTTCTTTTTTTCCCCATTTTTTTTATGCCAGTACTGTTCTGATCTTAAAAGGATAAACCATATGCACCACAAAAATCAGGAGCATATAGAATAGTTTGACATCTCTTAATATAGCTGGTTTCATATGTGGATTGGAAGAAGTCACCATAGATTGGATATATGAGCTAATGACTTGGTTTTGGGTGCTGGTGGTGGTGTTATTGACTGACCTTTTGCTTTACAACACACCAAAGCCAATTGTATGTGATGCATGCATTGGTTGCATAGAATTGCTCATGTGAATGAGTTGGCTTACTCAGTTGCAGAAGCAGATCATGACAATCACTCTTTGCGAAGAATGGGTCAAAATTCAGAACCTCCAGAAGTATAAATATGTTAAATGTATTTGTCCAAATATTAAAATCTTAATAGCTTTTCTGTGTCTAGTTATTCAGTTGTTTGTTTTTTGTGTTTTGTTGCTTTTAGACAGGGTCACTTATCCATGGTTGTGCAGCTGATGAAATATGGGGCAGATCCGTCGCTAATTGATGGAGAAGGATGTAGCTGTATTCATTTGGCTGCCCAGTTTGGACATACTTCGATTGTTGCTTACCTGATAGCAAAGGGACAGGTAAATTTTAAGTAATAACCCATTTAAATAAATTCTACTCAGAACAGGAAAACAATTGAAAGTTACGCCTATGATTCAAGTAATGCAAAAAATTTGGCTGACTAAACATTGAATTATTTCTATGTGTTTTACTACAGGTTACAGTTTTTGACACATGTACCATCTGTTTTACCTTAATCTGTTTGAACAGTGGTCTGAGTGCTTTGACTTTAATTCATATATATGTTTAGTGTAGTATGTGGAAATTCTAGATGATATTTTTTTACCACTCTTTATTTCTAATGAAGTTAATTTTAAAATGCTCATGGTGACAATGATTGCAAATATTTTAGTAGTCATCTTAGAAGCATCAGACTAGACATGGATAAAGAAGCTAATGACGAAGCATTGTCATAGGTCATCACTTTTTTTACACCTCAGTCAGCAACTTTTTATTGCTGTAATTGCATGTGTGTAGATTTAAAAAAAAAAAAACTCTCACTTGCCTCTTGTATTATTGCTGTATCTATTAATTATGTAACATGTGTACTTGTTACTGTTCTCATTGTCTCCCATCCTTCATTTTGTATGCTCAAAGCTGTTCACCTTCTTGCTACTCACCCTTCATTTTAAGTAAGCTGTAGATACCCGCAGATACGTGCCTGAAGCACAAACTTGAGACTTAGCTTTGCAGACCACATAGAAAAATCAAAACCCTCCCCCCTTTTTACAATTTAGTTAATGCTGTTCCCAATTCTGTGTTCTGTTTTTTTCTTTCAAACAGAAAGTAGGATATCCTGTGAGTCTTGTAGAATTTCACTATGAAATCAGTGGCTTTGGTCAGTGTTAGCTGGAAAGTATTATATGTTATATAACAAATACTAAATTCACTGCAGAAAATCTGTGCCAACATTCACTTCAAAAAATAAACTATTACTGTATGCAGTAATCGGTTTATATCTCAGAGTTGTTTGTCAAACAGTACTTAATATATGGTAGAGAGCAAGTTAGACACAAGAAGATGCTGCTCATATGCAATAACTAACTATTTTGTAAGAGCATAGTGGGTCAAGAAAAATCCTGTTTCATCAGGAACAAGAGTTACGCTTTGTTCATAAAAACCCCCATAAAATTGCACATAACTTATGTTACCAGAAGAATTTTGCAAATGTTATACATGTAGAAACTTTTTAAGTATAGCATTAAATTTAAGAATAAACGACCTTTAAAATGCTCTGTCTTGATTATGAAATCTCCCTGTAAGTGTTTGCATGTCCTGATGTATATAAACAGAATGTCCTATTTATCTATCTGAGCATATAATGCTTCAGTCCAAGAGAAGCTGTGTGTGCATACATATGTGCGTATGTAGACACACAAAGCTTGTTTTTAAAATCCAAAATCTAGTATCTTGGGAACAGCTCTCCTTATCATAAGCTTTTTAAAAGATGATTCTTATACTTGATAACATTTGAGTTTTAATGACTTCAGTATCCTTCTTGTGCCATAAGTTTGAATTGATTTTGCTAGTTATTTTTCAGAAGCACTTCAGAAAGTGAAACTTTAAAATTATGTCTCAATTTGAATGTTAAAATATAGTAATAACACTATAATAAAAATTATTGAACTCAGTTCTATGCTATAGCTATACTACATCCAACTACAGAAACTGCATAATTTCAATGGAACTTATGGGAACTGCATAATTCTACTCTGTATTCTCCTTTAATAACTGTATGTGAGATCATGAGTAGCTGACTTTGTTTACACTGATATTTACCTCCTAGTTTATACCATGATTTGGGTTTGGAAACTTAACTGCCTTTGCTTATGTAGGCTTTTTCTGTTACTACTTGTAAGCTTTGCTTTTACCTGTACCAAGGCCAGGTTCTCCTAAATCCAAAAACTATTTTTGCCCTTCTTGTGAACATAATTTTGTGTTATAATGTAGTACCTGCATGGTAAATGTCAAATAAATAAATGTCAAAATAAATCCATTTAGGCTGCTATGCCTTGTTAGTCCTGGTCCTGACGTCCTTTGGAGACCTCTGTGGTCAGAGGAGAGCCAAGTTTCATGCTTCCAGTCAGCTATGTAGAGAACTGAGTTACAATTGGGAGATGGATTTAGTTTCGCTCCTAACTGAAGTTGCTCCTAATTGTTTCTTGTCCCTTTTCTAGGCAGGGCTAGAACCCAGCTTCAGTATTGCTGCTCTGCTCTCTGCCCGGGTTGCAGCACCCCGCAGTAAAACTTCCTATCTGAGGCTACAGTCCAGTCCTCTGGTGCCTGGAGTATATTGTATGGGAAGAGCTTTTGATCAAGTTCCCTCTGGTCTCAGTTGGAAAGTAAACCCACCTTCATGCCAGCAAGCACTACTCTGCCAAGAGGCAACAGTTGCTGATAGCTGTTGCTTTTTATTTTGTCTCGTCTCCCACTGAATCTTGCGAGGCTAATTGCCTGGCCGTATCGTAATTTAGTCATATTGTGTCAGTAAGTGGCCTGGGCCAAAATCAGCCTGGGGCAAGCATGCAGTATAGACACAATCAACATGGCAAATATCAGAGTCTGTAACGCTGTCCAGGTTTAGATAAAAGAAGATATTAAAAAAGGGAGGAAGAAAAACTTTAAATAGCATGAAGGCACTTGAAAACTTCTTAAAATTGTCACTACTTGACATTGTACTTAAATTACTTAAAATTTCAAAGGCAAATCAGGATATAGGGTACACAAACACATCACCCCAAGATAAGTTAGGATATGAATATGGTATATCAGATAATTGAATAACTGGCAGCATGTGTGTTCTCAGTTCAGTGGCTTATCTTACCTCAGTTGCTTAGATCATAAACTACTGCAAAGTTACTATTGGGGTAAAGTCATGTTCTGAGACTTATCTTGGAGTCTCTCTGATTCCTTAAGATCATAGCTTAACTATCCCTTACTTTATCGAGTACAGGGTGTGGGGTTTTTTTTTTCCATTTTCAGAGTTGCAGTCTTATGCTTTAACTACTGTCCGGAGCTACTTAGGGCTTGATTTTGAGCTATGGCTTAGGAATAGCTGGCATATGGATTTGGAAGATGTCAGTGTGATGAAAGCAGCCTTGCTCTTAAGTGTTGTTAGTTCTCTGTCGGTGTTGAGGTTTGTTCTTCCAGCAGGGTTCAGGCCAGGGTAAGGCACTGAACGAAGTGTTGTTTACTCCCTAGACCTACTGTATAGCACATTAGCTACGCAAGTATAAGGCAAGTCACGTTTCTTCTTCATAACTCTCAGAACAGTCTCTGTTTCTGATAAAGGACTAAGTTCTTCAGAGCTTTTCTTGCTCAAAGGAGCAAGGTTACTTCTGGGTTTTTTTGCGTGTTACCTTGCTTGATAAACTTGTCTGTCAACCTGCGCTCAGCTTTTACCACTCATGAGTCTGAGACTGATCTCAGAAACCTCGAAAATTTTTGCTTTCAGTGAATCACTAGCTCAGGCCTTTCTCAGCTTAGGAAATATTTTCAGTCTTAACTCTTCCTGATACATTTTCTTTACTCTTTGCCTCTAAATACGTGCTCTCTTTGAGAATCCGAGTTCCCCTTTTGCTGGATAACAGTCCATGTAAAAGAGATCTTTCCTTGTAGAGAACAGAGTTTTCTGTACAAGAGCATGACATATCTCTGTATAAAGGCCTGCATTCTATAAAATAACTAATAGTGGTTCCAAAGATGATCAATTTAAGGTTTCCTTTTATGCAAATCAATGCATTTCTAAGTGTAATCTCTGAATGCTTTCTGTGCTTTTGAGAAGGCCGTATTGTAACGTGGTAATGTTTGACCGTTATTTGTTAAATGTCCTGATAAGAATAAATGCTACTGTGATCTCTAGTTGCTCTTCAGAATTCTAACTTGCCAGTTATATTGTTTTCAGAAAGTGATTTTTGTTTTCAGAAACTAGGTTTAGCCAGTGGGATAGTCACCACAGCTCCCTTCCATGAAGGAAGGAAGAGCTTCTCCCCCGGGTTTTGTCTTTCCAAAAGCTTTTGTGTGGAATCCTGTATTCGCGTCCTAGGATGAAAATCTGGTTTGTCTTTGGATGTGCAAAGTTGTTCTGTTTTAGAACTAAAGTTGTCCTATTTCAGAACCAACTAATAAATGTACCAATTTTGGTACCGGGTGTTTGCGTGGTTGAAATATGTGTACAGGGTAGCAGTTTATGCAGTTGCATCACTTTACTGGTTTTTGAGATCTTTGCCTTTTGCAGTGCTCAGACTTTTGTCCTAACGGCATAGAGACCTGTTCATGAGAAGTATCAAGATTGACCTGTCATTGAGAGTCAGACAAGAAGTTAGTACCAAAACACCTGTTGGTACAAGCCAGAACGCATGAACAGTTTCCAGATATGCATCTGCTGGCGGAGGCGGCAACACCCCCCTTTTTTTCTTTTAGGTAAAGAGCAGCAGCACTTCCTTTCTGGAAGTTATGCTCATGTTGCTTTGGATGATGAGGTTATGATCTGGCAGAATACCAAAACTTTGGAGGGAAGCTTTGTTAGACCGTTTGTCTGCTATCTGCAGGTTCTGTCTATAAAATTGTGTGCAAATGAACCTCAGTTTCTTTGGAACTTGTTGTAGTTCCCTTGAAGAAGGATGTACCTTAGCCCACGCTGGAGCTTATTTTGAGTAATAGTTGTAGGCTGCTTACATAATCTGTTAAGATGTGCAGGGAATAATCTGTTTTTACTCTGTGTCACCTAGTGCAAAGCGTAGCCTTGATCTGTTAACATGGATTCACTAAAGGAGTCTCTTTACCTATTCGCAGGCAGTCGGGTACCTGCTGGAAGAGTGATTATTCATATTATAGTAATTCTTGCATTCTTCAAAATGTGGTGTTCACACAGTGTGAACTGTGAATCAGTTACGCTTCTGAGGGACAAACGAACTTGAGGTTAGGCCATGCTTCTAATTTTCTTCCTGGCAACAGGAGGTGAAAGGGAGTCTCAACTGCTGGGCAGCCCTAGTAGACTCAAAAGATCCTAGTGTAGGCATGTGCCTGGGACAAACAGACGTGGATTCTGGTCTCAGTGCATGTAAGACACTTCTGAAAAAACAGTGCAATCAAGTAATGGTTCTCTTTCCACTCAGTCAATCAGTTTTTATTTCCGTTTGTGTGGTGCGTGTGTGTGTGTATGTGTTTTTAATTTGGCAACAGAATAAAAACTCAGAAATGTAAAAGCTTCTGCAAGCCAGAGGACGACTTAAAGCAATTATTTGGAAGGCTAAATTGCATTTTTTTTTTGGAAAATTTCTACTAGGGTCAGGCTAGCAGCACAGTCAGTGAGGATCCCAGGGTGCTTGGCCTCTGGCAGACAACAGAGAGGAGCAGAAGTTTCTGGGGGGAAATGGAAAGCAACATCATCTGCTTTCTTGGTTTCCATCAAGGCTTTCAATAGCAAATGACTTTACTGAAAGACTTCCAACCTAATTTTTCTGGTAAGAACTGAGAGGAGTAGTGTAGGAGATGCTGTTACAGTCCTACTATTTCTAAGGGAAATTGTGCAGGTCTTTGTTTTAGAGTAATTTTGTGTTTGCAGTCCATGAAAGTTGCCCAAATGTGCTTGAGAATCTCATCTGGTCCGATGTGTTTAGGAATTCCGAGCTTCCGTGTTACTAAGGCAAGGATCTATAACAGCCAAAATACTGTGCGTAATAGATGCTTTCCTTTCTGATGATCTCAGAGGATTGTCTTAATCAGTTGCCCTGAATGATAATGTTTTGTCATTCAGTGGTAATGTTCAGTTAAGCATAAGAATGGAATACATTTTGTTTGTTTAGCTATCTGTTTAGTCACCGCTTGATTATAAGTTAGTTTTATTTCTGAGTAGGTTAATTGTTTTTATTAATGGCTTTTGCTTGCACTTAAAAACTCTTCTGTGGTTTCCATTAAGTTGATATCCGGATATGCCAATACCTTTGGAACTGTGTGAAGTAAAACTGCTTTGCAAGTAAAAAACCACAGGCACAGCTAGCATGTGACCATGTAGGATGCTACGGCATATTTATGTTAATTTATAAAGTAGTTTATTAAACGTTGGAGTGTTTTATTTAAACGTCTTTCCTGCTTTTGAGTGCAATATTACACCACTTATCTATGCTTTTTTTTTATGTTGAAGGTAAATTTAAGGTTGAAATGACCAGTCTTGTAACCTGCGGTGGCTGCTCCTTAGTTTCCAAAATAGATGGAAATGGTCATATTTTGGCACTGGTGGTGTTAATAAAGTGATATTTAAAAATGAAAACAGGCACTATATAGTAAAAGCTTGCCAGGTCGTCTTCAATTCAGTTGGCTAGTGTTATAAAATACTGCTTCTTATTACAAACCTTATAGCTACTGAAACTTGAGCGTGCATATCTCACCAGCACTTTTTTTTTTCTTTTTAAGGATGTAGATATGATGGATCAAAATGGAATGACACCTCTAATGTGGGCAGCTTACAGAACACACAGGTAATATACTTGCTGCATTTCTGATCTTCTTTTATCATTAACCGAATGGCATGGGATAGTGACTTTCTGATTTGGAGAGTGTTTTGTTTTAACTAGCCAATGTACTTCTCTCAATTTCCGCTCTACTTCATTTCTGACCTATTCAAGAGAGGAGGTTATGCAGATGTATTTGCCAGTATGAACTTTCAGTCCACAAAGTAAATTTACTTGTGGAGGTTAGCAAAAAAAAAAGATAATTCAGACTTGTTGTCTGGAGAAGTATCTGAATCAGTTTGCTGCTCAGAGGGGCCTATCTCCACTGATTGTTGAGAGGAGCCTAAGTTAGCTTTTGCAAATAGCTACTATTACCAACATTGTCATTACCTCTTTTGTTTTCAGCTTTCGGCATGTGGGATGGAGTTATATTTAGTACTTTTATTGTAATCTGTCAGACATATAATCATGTGCATTCTTTTGCAAATTTGTTAGTACTGTTACATTTCTGAGATGTGAAAATAAAAATTATACAAAATGCAGTTCAAGACAGCCGAGAACAAGTTTTAATAGATTTGAGCAATAGATGTCTTTCTAGGCCCCTTTTTAAATTGAGTAAGATCTTTGTGGATTGTTTTTGGAAATTTGAGATATTAACATTAATCAGCAAATAATGTCATGTTACTGTTATATAGTGTACCTAATCAATGTCCATTATAGAAAATGAACTCACTAACCCAATTGGAATGTATTTCAGTTAATCTTCTGTAGATCTAAACAAGACTTTTCTTTTCTAGTGTGGATCCAACCCGATTACTACTTACATTTAATGTTTCCGTTAATCTTGGAGACAAATATCATAAAAACACAGCATTACACTGGGCTGTGCTAGCAGGAAATACTACAGTCATTAGTCTTCTGTTAGAAGCTGGAGCTAATGTAGATGCTCAGAATATCAAGGTAAACACTCAGTCTGTTTTTATTGTAAGTGATTTAATGCAGAAATAATCTGTAATAAATCTGAAGACTAGATGATTGTTGAGGGTATAGTGGGGCCATGAGGATGCATGCAAAAGCCATGCCACTAATGTTTCATCTAGAAATCAGTTTTTACTGACAATGATGTACAGTCTCTAAATCTGCACCTTCAGAAGTACACATGTGAATACACTTACCAATAGGTACGTGCAAACAGATGGTTTGCATGTGTGCATTTAGACTGCATGCATGAAGACCGTGCATTTGGATACAAAATTGGAAAATTGATTGGATGTCATCTAGTTATCATTTGGGGTGACTTCTTGTTTTGATGGAGTGAGATGTGAGACAGCTGTGCCTTTTCCAAGGGAGAAGGCAGATGCTCTAGTATGTCTCCTTCACCCAGTGGCAGCAAGGAAGCTTGAGGCCTAAAAGTGTCAGTGAGAATAAAATCAGAAAATTGGTTCCTTTTGGGGGGCAGATCTTCAGTTGTCTGACTACTTTACCTGAACCTCTTAACCAGGCTAGATTCAGTGCTAACAGAGCCCATCCCACCCATACAATAGCCAAGGAGCTGTTCCAATTTATGCTATAAACATAGAGTCCATAAGAGCTTGGCCAGCAACGGGAAGTGGGCGTGTTAAAGCTTTGCTCTGCAGTGGTTGTTGTCCGTTGCTCCCAAACCATCCTGTATATGCCATGAGATGCATTTTTATCACATAAGTTAGTTCTTCTGTCTGTGGGGTCAGGGAAGAGCTCACTTTTAGGAAAAATAATTCTCTATTACTCAATTTCTATTTGCATATTTGTATTTTGCACTTAGTAAATGGTACAAATGGGATGGACAGATTGGAAAGTACAGCTCTATATATTTATTTATCAAATACTTAATATTTAGTTAATTTGACCTTTCACCATTTTTTCCTACTGAGTAAGATAACCAGGGTCTATTGTACTAGGCTGTCAACCACAGAAAAGATTGTGTTGTGATCCACAAGTGATAGAAATATCCTAACAAAATATGTACATCCATTTTCTTGAACAGCATGGGTCAGAATTTTTAAAGAGTGCAGTCAAATTTTGCTACTGTCTTTCTAGGTCCTACATCAGTTCTAGATCACCAGAAGTACTGATGATCCCGAGCTGAAAACTGAACAGAAAAACCACATGGCTTTTCACATGTGTTTAAGACAAATCAACTAGTCTCTCAAATTCATTGGTGTGAATATATATGAAGTGATCTATAAAGTCAGCTGCGTGGGTGAAATACACTTCTAGTCTCACTTCTTGCAAACTGTTATGAAGCTCTTTTCTGTTCCACCTAATGGTAAAAATTAGGATATTTTGTGAAACAATCAGTGTGTCATAACTTGCTTCCCTGGAGAGACTGATGGCGTTAACTAGAGTTTTAAAGTGATCCATACCTCAGTTTCCTGACTTTCATAGAATCTGTAATTAAAAATTAATACATCTAGCCAAATGAAAGGATATCTACTAGCCTGAAGCAGTTCATAGTTTCCTTCATTATTGACAGACAGCAGCAGTCAGTAGGGGAATAGGCTTTTGAACCTGCTGGATCATGATATTTCTTCAGTCATGCTGGAAGACATGAGCCTCGTTTCATTATTCACTGCTTTCCTTCTGCAGCGGAGTCTAGGTTTCTTGTTTGCCTTTCTATTGATTTCTAAGATATCTAGGATTTCTAGGATCAAAATTATTCCAGCAGTGACAGCTTTGCCATCCAGTCAATGGTTTTATAACAGATGCTGATTTGAGCAGTGTATCATATGTTTAGTAAAAGTTCATAGTAAACGTAAGATTTTAAGAGATTTCCATAGGTGTATAGAAACTCACTGTCTTGTGCTTCTCCTTTGACTGTTTAGCAAAAATGTTTTCTTTCTTGAGCCAAAATTGGTTGTTACGGTGTCTGGCTCATGTTTTCCTGGAATTAGAAAAAGGATTCACCAAAGGTTTCTTTCTGATTCAGTCCTTTCAAGATCTGTGTAGTGAAGTGCTTTTCTCCGATAGTCCATGGAATTGACCAAAAATGTGGATAAAACATTTAAGGTTAAAGAAATATATTGGCTAGAATCCCCTCATCTTTTTCAGATTATGTAGTGACTGAAATATTAAGTGTGAGGTGTTATATGTTAGTAAATTGCATGCTACTAGCCTCCTAGGTTTTGGTGAGGAAGCTGATGTAAATTGGAACCAGTTGCCTAAGTAAGGCACTATTTTCATTTTGCATGGCAGTCTGAGAAATGTAGTGGGGGCTGTATAAGAGAAAAATATAAGTCAATAGCGCTCATGAGACTTACTCTAGATTAAAACTTGATGTTTTAAAAAAAAAAAAAAGGGAGAAAGTATCTATCTTGGAAGTATAATGATGCTAGGTAGTGTAATGGGTTAGTAAACATAGTCCTCACAGATGCAGTCGTTTCAAGTTAATCAAAGAGGGTTTGTCCTGCTCTAGTGACTTATCTTCTTTGTTATGCTCTATAAGAAACTAATATTGCTCTTTAGGTAGTAAGACTTTTTCCCCCCCCTTTTTGAGAACTGGAGTTGGAGATGCAAGTTCCTTTTTGGTAGTCAAAATAGGATTTTGGAGTGAGGTTTTTTTGATTTTTTGGGGTTTGTTTGTTTTGGTTTTTTTGTTAGGACAAGGTATCTTGCTACAGCAGGAAACAGATTGGCAGATAAGGAGAAGATTTCAGAAGTCAGTTAATCAGCGGAGTGGGGGTGGGATGAATAAGTTTTATTTAAATATATATAGAAGCCCTTCCCCCTAAACCCCCCAACAGTGGTAGGAACTTTTATGCTTTAAGGAAGATACTTATTTAAAACATATCAAAACTATTATCTTTGAATGGACTTTAGGTATAGTTTCTTGATTAAATATAGACTTTCACAAAGAAGTCTTCAGATATACTACATAAAGTGCCATGTGGTAATGACACTTCAGATTATTCTTTCTGTCTAATCACTTAAAAATCTCTAAATGAATTCTATTAAAGCCTTTTTGCTTGTTGGCAAAGTGATAATTATATTACTAGGCTAAGGTTTAAGATCCCTGGTTTGTTGGGGGTGTTTTCCTTTAGTTTTGCTTTTTAAGCAGATTGGCCATGCATCCCTGTGACTGCGAGGAAAATGTTAAAATGGCCGGGTGATCAGAAGCATAGTGGAAGATGTCTTTAAAGCTCCCTCAATCTCTTTATCTAGGCAGTTCCTAGGTGTCTCATGGCCCTCTAGTGGAAGGGATGCTCAGCTGGACCCCAAGACAACTTCAGGATTTACTTGGGAGGTCAACTCCCAGAGGGGATTGCTTGTCCACAGGTAATCTTATGGTCTGGATATATAAGATGACATTTAAAAAAAAAAAAAAAAAGCATCTCTGGGGTTTTCCCAGTATTAGCAATTCAAGATGCTGTTAGCTTTGTGATGACACAGGCACTGTAGTTCAGGCTTTGAAGCCAAGTTAAGTCAAAAGGTTATTCTTTACTAATTGATTTTGCTAGCTTAACTTTTCAGACAGAAGAAATGCCAGGTCCTGTTAGGCAGCGAAACACTTACTTCATAATCTGTAGTCTGTACTATTTACCCTCCTTTTATAGATTCAGAGCAAGATTTCAAAGGCAAAATGAGAGTTAAGTACTCCATTCCCATTGTCTTGCTATGGGATATAGGTAACTAACTGTCCTTTGTGTCTTTGAAATCTCTTCTGTCTATAGTAAGTATCGCCCTTTCTGGGTAATTTCAGTTTCTGGTACCTGTCTCACTTTTTTTTTAGGAGGGGGCCGAGCGATGGAGGATTCAGCCATTTTTCAAGCCTCCATGAATGCTTTGTTTAGGAGGGGAGTTAACTCCAGTAGAAGAGAGGAAGAGTCAAATGCAAAACTGAAGCTGGAGGTACCTGCAGTTGGTTGTCTCTTGCCTCCTCTATAATTTCAGACCCCGTCAATAACTTTCATTTAGCTCTCTTTTGTAGATATTTAAAGAGCAGTAAAATCAAATCAGTTTGATAGGCACCTCTGGCCCCTCTATACCTTTCTCTTGCCTTCTCTGTCGTATGTTTACCAGAAGACATGGGAAAGAGGGGGACCATTGCTGGCTTTGCACCCAATGAATGTGAAGCACAAGCCAAGCATGAAAGCTCAGAGTTTGGGAGCAAGATGGACATGAGGAATCAGTTTATTCTTTCCCTTTTTTTCTTCCTAGGACTACAGTGACTGAGACAAACAAGAGCATTTAACTTATTTAAAAAAAAAAAAAAACTTATAGGAAATATGCCGTGATATTAGTAACTTCACTCTGCCAAGTAGGCAGAGGATTAACTGAGGAGTTAAGGCTTTATGCTGGGAGAATTTCCATGATCCAGTGGGTCACAAATTCTTCTTTGTTTGATTTCTGCTGCCTGTCAATAGCTGAGGGGAAGCACAGTCTTTCATTTACAGACTAGTAGACTGTGTGTAGAACACTGAAACACAGATGTGTTATGGCAAAGGCAACAGTTATTGCTGCATCAAGGCATTTAGTGTCAGGATCACAAATTTAATATTCTACTTGTCCACTCGTATGCAGTTATAGGAGCAAAAAAGACTGAAAGGAATTAATGATCTGTTTGGTGTCAAGTAAGCTGCAGAGAGAAAACAGTGCCAGAACGTAGTTTAATCTGTCTTTAAATGTATTATTTGTACCTGCTAATCTGCTCTTTCAAAAGTGATCTGAATGCATTTTGTGTATAAATTAGATATTTCCCGTTTTTGTATTCTTGGCAGGGAGAATCACCACTTGATCTAGCAAAACAGAGGAAAAATGTTTGGATGATCAACCACTTACAGGAAGCAAGACAAGCAAAGGGATATGACAGTCCATCCTTTCTCAGAAAGCTGAAAGCTGATAAGGTGAGAAGAACTATAACATATAAAATATCTGTTACTACTGCTTTATGTCTGTGGGTTTTTTGTGTTGGGTGGATGTAGATTTTCTTATTTTTTGGGGTTTTTTTGTAAGCAGTTCAATACTGAAGCTTCTCCACGCTTCAGGTTTAGGAAATGTCATCTTTTTGTGGTGACAACTAATTGCAACCTTATTCAAGGCAGCAGGGGAAAAAAAAACAGGCCTCCACACAGTTTTCCTTAATTTTTGCACTGACTAAACATTAGGAATTACTAAGCAGTGGTACTGCTGGGAATAGTCAAGACTGTCACAAAGCTGATTCTCACGTATCTGAGGAAATAAGTGTTTTAGATGTCCTGAACTCTGTGATCTTCCTAATTACTCAGTGTTTTCTGTTGAATGACAAATGTAGTCAGTCTTATTGGTATAATAATGTAATATATGTACCTCAAAGTTGAAGGCCTCTTATTTCTTCCCAAGTTGTTATTTAATAGCATAGCTAGTATTTGATCTTGATAACTGAGATTTACTTAATAACCCTGTCAGCTTTCAAAATAAATTCCTAATTAGCAAAAACCCATATTTGTGCAGAATGACCAATTTTAAATAAAATTTAATTTCATTTCTTGTGATCCTTATGTTCAGTAACTGGAGGCTTGGGATTTTTTGATTTTTGAGGCTCTTTTTGGGGGATGGGGGTGCACATGAGCAGAACTGAAATGTTGAACCTCATGTTACTAAATTAAAACCTGTACCTGGAGAGTTGGTGTGATTGTACTAAAAGTGACTGAGGAAACAAGAAATGAGAGTGTAAAGGGTAACATATTGCTGTCGTGAAGAACTATCTGCCTACCTATAGCTGGAGTTCTTGTATATAATTAATGTTCACTTACAAGTGGGCATGTAGTGCTGGATATTTTTCCAGTGTGGCATCACTGATTTGTTATGTCTTTAGAGATACGTTGTATCTTGGTAATTAAAGCATTGGCTACAGCCTCTGCTTTAACTCTATGGTCATTTTAAAAAGTTAATACTTGTGAGTTGTTGCCTTATTGTGATTTGCGCACTGCGTTATGCGTCAGTGTGTTGTGACTGTACCTCAAATATCCTGGAGTTGAGTGCACTAATCAGCAATTGTACCCACATTTTAAGAGGCTAAAAAGGTTCGTTCTTCATAGAATTTTCAATACGACTTTATCTATTACTTATGCAACTTCAATCTTTAATGTTCGCTGTCCAAAATCTACTGTACACAATATGCAGTAGTTCATACACTTTTGACAAATTTTTAGAAGAGAACTACTGTTACCTTTATTCTGGATCAGTAGCAAAGTCTCCTTAAAAGACAGTTCAGAGGGGGAGGGGAGACAAGACGCCTAATTTGTTATACAGTTTTAGGATGATTTGGAGGGGGTGGAGGGGAGAGATGTAAATGTGGGAAATGACAAAAAACGAAACAAAAATCCTTAATCCTCACTTTGTGTCAAGCTTGCAAAAAATTAATTTTATCACCTGTCCTATATATTATTCAGCCTATTCCTAAAAGTAAAATTACTTATTGATATTTTTCTATACAGGAATTCCGTCAGAAGGTGATGCTGGGAACTCCTTTCCTGGTTATTTGGCTGATTGGGTTTATAGCAGACCTAGACATTGATTCTTGGCTCATTAAAGGGCTGATGTATGGTGGCGTTTGGGCTATGGTGCAGTTTCTTTCCAAGTAAGTGTTTTACCACAACACTCTTCAGTGTGCACTGAAGTAGTGTTTAGTTGGCATCTTAGTTACTTAATATTTTTTTAATGTGTGTTTTTGGATATGCAGCGTTTATGTTTTGTTGGAATTCTTTGTTTATCACTACTTAAGGAAAGATCTTTTGCAGCTTAGCTCTTTTAATGTTCTGTGGTGTTACAGAATAGCCATTGAACTACTCTGAATGAATACCACTGAGTTAACAGAAGCTAACAGCAGAATAGAACAGCACAATAGAAATTCAGTCAGTCTCCAGAGGAGGGTGCTGAATGTCTGTCTACAAAGAGTCATCTGTGTGAATTTTAAAGGGAACAGTCAAGGGGAAAGTTATTTGAGAGGGATAGAAAAGATGTGTGAATGTGCTATTAAATCCCAGATTTTTTTAGAATTAAAATACCCCAAAGTATCGAAGATTTACAGAGAGAAAGTCAGACATAGGATTTGCAGCTTCTGTTGTTGCCAAAAGGGGGGACTAAACGAGAAGGCTTCTTTCTAATATATTTTTAATTCTTTACCTAATCATAACGAATTTTAGTTTGTGTGTGCACATGTTTAAGATTACTTTTAAATACCTGTAAATACACACGCGCACAGACAGACATCTTCTGACAGATTCCCAGAATCTGTGGGCTACTTCATCTCTACTTAGCTTCTCAGTGTCTTATATTACCTATGTAGAAGAACCTTTGTGCTTTTCTGGCTTTGGATGTAATGTCCGTTAGAACCATTTACTCCTCCTTCCTTTCTCCTTACAGAGAAAAGGAAAATATACCTTGTTTGAGGGGGAACTCTGCACACAGGCAGACAGAACAGAGCTAAGATGACAGCAGCCTAAGGAACTCTTGATGTCTTTATTTTCAGAATGCGTTGGGTATTACCATTGTTTTCTAAATAATCTTCAAGCCAGAGGAAGAATGTCTGTGTAAGCCTGATCTTCTCTGAATTAACAAAGATCCCTGTTAGAAACATCTCTAGGAATCTTTTGAATTCCTTGGAAAAGTACAGTCTTGTGACAAAGGAACAAGCAAGCATCAAGCTCATGATCTTAATATGTCTGTCTGTCTCACTTAAGTTTGCACATACGTGGGACAAATCTCTGCTCGTTTTATAAACTCTGGTTTCCTAAAACAGTATTTTCTTGGATGATGCAATTGCCTTTCATTGCTAAGTGTGCTAAAAGCAAGTAACTTTCCATGGTAACATACTTGGCTGTCTTATGTGTACCCTAGCAAAGATTTTCTTTAGCTGCCTGGGGAGTAACTCCCACAATACATACTATGGAACTGGCATCTTTTTTCCTCAAAGCATTCGAAATGTCTGAGTTACTCTTAGACAGTCTCTTCTAATATACTCTTATGAATTAGATAGTCTCCTATCTATAAACTCATCAGCTTAGTGAAGCTAATTAGTTGTTACTGTCCAAGCCATGGTCTATAAAGAAAATTAATTATACTCTTACGCCTATTTCCACTCTCAGATCAGCGCTTTCTACAGATGGCTATTTTTACTTCTCAGGATTGTTGAAGTTGGAAGGGACCCTGGAGATTGCCTAGTCCAGCAGCCTGCTCAAAGCAGGATCAACTGCAGCAGGTTGCTTAGGGCTATGTCTGGTTATGTTTTGAATCTCTCAAGGATGGAGATGGCACAGCTTCTGGGCAACATGTTCCAGTGCTTGACCACCCTCACGTTATAAAACATTTTTCTTACGTTTAAATGGTATGTCCTGTATTTCAGTTTGTGCCCATTACCTCTTGTCTTTTCACTGGGTACTGCTGAGAAGAGTCTGGCTTCATTATCTTCATTTGCCCCCATCAGGTATTTGTACACATTAAGATCCACCTTGATCCTGCTCTTACGCACGTTGAACAGTTCCAGCTCTCTCAGCCTCTCCCCATATGTCAGATGCTCCAGTTCCTTAAACATCTTCATGGTCTTGGCTGCACTTGTAAATCCACATCTGTCTTGTATTAGGGAGCCCAGGACTGAACGTAGCACTTCAGTTGTGGTTTCACCAGTGCTGAGTAGAGGGGAATGGCCACTTCCCTTAGCCTGCTGGCAGCACTCTGCCTAATGCAGCCTAGGAGGCTGTTTGTCTTTTCCTGACGATGGAAGCCCTGCTTGCGTCCCTTCATATCCCTTGCCAGATTCGACTCCAGATGGGCTTTGGCTTTCCTAAGCCCATCTCTGCAGGCTCAGACAGTGTCTATATTCATCCTGGGTCACCTGTCCCTGCTACTACCTCTTGTACACTTTCTTTTTACGTTTGAGTTTTGTCAGGAGCTCCTTGCCTATACGTGCAGGCCTGCTGCCAGCTTTGCTTGACGTCCTGCACATTGGGATGGACCATGCTTGAGCTGGGAGGAGGTGATCCTTGAAAACCAACCAGTTCTCATCCCATAGGGTTCTTCCAAGCAGGCCAAAGTCTGCTCTCCTGAACTCCAGGGTTGGGATCCTGCTTTTTAGACTGTTGAAGGATCCTCCTTTTTCCTGGCTTCTTCCTTGTAGGATCCTGAACTCCACCATCTCGTGGCGACTGCAGCCAAGGCTGTCCCTGAACCTTCCCCTTCCCTCAACCAATTCTTTTGTGTTTTTTAAATATGAGGTCCAGCAGAGCCCCTTGCCTCCTCAGCTCCTCCATCACCTGTGTTAGGAGCTGTGTTGCCCCTCCAGCAGACACTGGGGTGGGTAAGTCCCCCATGAGGCCCAGGGCCTGCAAATGTGAGGCTTCTTCCAGTTGTCTGAAGAAGGCCTCACCTATTTCTCCCTGTTCAGGTGGTCTGTAGCAGACACCCACCACCACATTGTGCACCTTCCCTTGAATCCTAACCCATCAGCTGTTAGCTGGCTCATCATGCATCCCCAGGCAGAGCTCTGCGCACGGAGTTGCGCTCTCACATACAGGGCAACCGCCCTTCCTCAGCGTCCCAGACTGTCCTTCCCAAACAGCTTTTATTCATCCATGGCAGCGCTCCAGTTGTGTGAGCTGTCCCACCACGTCTCCGTGATCCTGATGAGATCCTAGCCCTGCAACCGCGTGCGGACCTCTGGTTCCTCCTGTTTGTTCCCTAGGCTGTGTGCATTACTGTACAGGCACTTGAGAGAGGCACCAAGTCATGCCGATTTCCCAGGGAAAAAGTGCGAGAGATTCCCCCTTAGTGGTGTCCTCTAGGCACTTTGCTATTTGTGTGCATACGCCTGAGGGGGGCCCGCCTCAGCCCTGTATTGCTGGTCACAAGGTCACTCTTGTCCACCCTGCACCCTTTGCTTGCCAACCCTATCCACAGCTTCCTCACTTGATTGTGGGTTGTCATCTCGCTCCCCTGCCATTCCTAGTTTGGCACTTGCCTTAGCAGGCTGGTCAGCTTGTTGGCAAAGATGCTTTTGCCCTGCTTGGTCAGGTGAGATCCCATCTCTTCCCAGGAGTCTTCCATCCTCAGAGAGGATCCTGTGGTCATAAAAAAACTAAATCCTTGCTCTTGACACCAGTTGTGCCACCAGCTGGTGACCTGTAGGATCCATCTACTCCTGCTCAAGACCTTCCCCCTCGTTGGCAGGATCAAGGAGAAAACCACCTGGGCAGCCTTGGCCTTGGCCCTTGCCCAGAGCCAGGTAGTCACGCTTGAGACGCTCCAGGTCTCCCCTGGGAGTATCGCTAGTGCCCACATGGAAAAGCAGCAGCAGAGGGTGATAGTCTGAGGGCTGGACAAGCTGTGGCCGCCTCTCTGCCAGGTTCTGGTTCCAAGCCCCTGGCGAGCAGCAAAGCTCGCTAGGCAGCAGGTCAGGTTGGCAGATGGTCCTTCATCCCCCCGCAGAAGGGAGTTTCCCACTACTGTCACTCACCGCTTCCTGCTGGTGCTGCTGTGGGGCTGGGCTCAGGCTCAGTTGGCTCAGATGCTTTTCTGGACACAGCACCCAGCCCTTCGTCTGCATGGGACTCTTCATTTCCCAACCTGATAAGGACAGACTGCCTGCTCCTCCATTGATGCTGTTAGGGGTTCGGGATCTGGTCTCTGCAGATGCACTCAGTCTCCTTTTGATCATCTCTGATGCTGTGCAGTTCACTGTCCTTCTCCCAGAGCTCCTTTTCTCAGCAATGCAAGTCCTCAACTAGCACAAACTCCTGCAGGCAAGGACATCATTTCTTCAAGTTTTTGAAGATTTAGGTCAAAAGTGTAAAACTTAAGGAAACATATCTGATGCATATTTGTGTTTAACATTCTTTCACTTTCTCTTCTTTTTTGCTTAATGTTTAATATAAATATTTTTCTAAGTGCTTTCTGTAAAGGCCAGAACTGAATGAAATTGCAGTGACTTCTGCTATTGTTCTAGTAGTATTCCCTTACCCTGCTGAATTTTCGCTAACCCACTTAGCTGCTTTTTCTGCCTGCTACTTTCACAAAGGAAGAATATATAGAAGCCACTGAAAGAAGAACAGTTACTGCTGAGTAACTAATATGTGTTGAGATCTATCTACTCTTAATAATTAATTTACTCTCCTAGCCCATCCTCCTTATAGAATTTTCTCAAAGTTGAAAGACGCCTTCAGTGGACAAGAAACAGTTACTATAACGGAGTAAAATGGGAACAATTCAGTGCACAAGTTTGTCCAGAGCAACCCTGAGGACACTGTCAGGACAAAAAGGCAAATGCATTGATGAAAGGATGTTTGAGAAGGAGAGGTGGAAGAAGTTTTATTTCAAGCAGTTCAGCATTTTAGAATGTGACTTTTAATATGTTTAGCAACTTTACTGTGAATGCAGAGTCCTAGTCGTTTGCCTAATTTGTGTCTGTGAAATTCTTTTTTTTTTTTCCAGACTATACTTTAGAATGCAGGACTATAAGAAGCTGAAAAGAATTCAGATGGCCTGTTTTTTTTATTATTATTATTATTTTGCTTGAAGAAGTAACTTTTTTTCTTAGAACCTGACAAATTTGCTGGTACAGGAACTGAATTCAACTGTTTTTCCTCTGACTTTCTCTTGGCAATCGTAACAAGCAAAAGACGCAGGAAATATTTCAAATATGTAGTCTGATAACACCAACATCTCAATTCTTTTTTTTTTTTTCTTATGGAAGTAATTTTAAAATGTAATTTTTGGTGTATGGGTTTCTTAAGTATTTTTGGCCTTGAAATCTCTTGTGTAAATGTAATTTGCAACCAATATCTGTGCTGAAGGCTAGGAATCTCATTGATTTCTGCTTTTGTAATGTGGTTTTAGAATAGGTATTTAAGCAATCTTCGTTTCTTGTCCAGTACCAGACTGCTGTGGTGGTGTTGACTTGTGAAGTATACTGAAACTGAAATAGTTATCTTTAATTTAAAAAGGGGGGAGGATGAAAAGAAAAAAAAAAATTTCAGTGTTACTTTGAGCAATTCCAAAACAATCAAATCAAATTTTTTTTTCCTGCTGGGAGGACTGAGAATTTTTTATTTTAAGTATGTAGTATACTAGTATACTATTAAGTATATAGTATTTCAAGTGTGTGTGTGGGTATATATATGTAGAGAGAGAGAGAGTAAAGATTTTTATAAGATTAGGAAATATGATGAGGATGTATTGAGACAGTGACCAGTCTGATACTTATATTTTTATAGATTTTTCTTAATTTAACTATTAACATCCTCTTTCAGCTAAAATATATATACTTCTGTTGCGGCTGATCTGTTACACATGAGATACAGCTCACATTTATCAGAAATACACTTACATTATCTACTTCAAATGTGAATGTATAAGTTTTAATTAAGTGAATTTCAGCTGTGACCATTCAGCTGGACAGGTTGAAAGCAGGTATTCCTCGCAAACTTTGAAGGTAAAAGTGAAAAAAATGTTTTCAGGGAGTATTCTGAGATATCCCATGTAGTCCACTTTTTAGCAGGAAGTGCTTTTTGCAAGTGGTAGTTCATATTTTATGTTTTCGAAATGGATCATGTGACATTGCTGCTCCTTTTCAGGTCGTTCTTTGATCATTCCATGCACAGTGCATTGCCTCTTGGAATATACTTGGCAACGAAATTCTGGATGTATGTGACATGGTTCTTCTGGTTTTGGAATGATATCCTTTTTCTGTGTTTAGCAATATTTTCTTATGTTAATAATATGAGGTAATGCCCAGAGTTATCCTATATATGAAAGTAAACTAAACTAAACTTTTAAGATAGCTATATGCTTTAAAAAACAAGTCTTCTGTGTTGATAATTATTTTTGTTGCTTTAAAAATGTGCACCCGTATTGTTTTGCTTCAGTAAAGAAAAGACTTCCTCAAAACTCATTTACAGTGGTCTACAAAATCTGCTGTACTTTATTAAATTTCTTAAATTTAAACAACTGTACAAAACATGCTGTGGCTGAGAGTTGACAAATGAAACTGTCACCTTTTTTTGAATGTCAGACACTGTGCTCTTCTAAAAAGCAATCGATAATTTTCCAATGTATGTTAATTCTGGTGGAAATAGCCTTCTAATGAGTTCTTTCAAAGATTTGGTAGATTGCATTTCATGCAAACTGTAGATACATTTTTAACAGTTACCTCTTCAAAGACTGAAAATACAGTTATGGGTTAACAACACTGAGGTATAGAGGTTCCGCATACACCCATCTCTTCTGTGAATGTCTGCCTAGACGTGGATATTTCACACTCACAGGGTAGGAGTTGATTCAGAGTTCATTGGAAAATGTCAGTTGCCTACATTAAAGAGAGAGAGAGATTCGGATTTTTAAGCTACTTTCTTGGGTATTGTAACTACAATAGCTTAGGAATGGAATAGAGATTTAATGTGTTTCATTAAATTTTTAGTAGAGTTCTTCTAGTTGTGAATACTTGAAGTGAAATTAATATTTATGATAGATGTTGACTTGGCTTTTCTAGAAATTGTTTTCAGCCTTAAAGGAACTGTAGCATGAAATAGGGTGAGAGCAATGCAACCCTTTTATCATGTTGTCAATATGTTCTCAAATCTTAGCTAAACGAGCCTCTCGTTCTTGGGCTGAGAACGCAAAGTAGACCCTGTTTTCATACTGCCTTTGGCTTCCGCGCTGACAGTGTTTGCAAAGGTGTCACTGTGAGTAAGAGCTATCTTGATACAGTATTAAATCCCATGCGATGGGAGGGGACTGTCATTTCATGTTCTTTTTAAAAAAAAAAAAAAATCCATCAGGTAAGAAAATTTTTCTATCCACATTAACACAAAATTGTTGAACTATTGTTGTTGAAATAGTTATTTAGAAATGCTTGTCATTCTACCAGTGTCATGTTCTGACCTGTCTTTCTGGATTTGTTTTTAATTAAATTTATCAGTAAGTGCTGAATGAAGAAAACAAGTACAGTATGAATAACAAAGTTAAATTAAATAGCTGTACTTAAAAATGGAGGTATGCTTTTCCAGTCCTTGTGGAAAGGAGTAGATACTGTCTAAATATGTCATGTAACTAGACTGCAGTTGCTTTTTTGTTCTTTTTGATATGAAAACAAGCCTGACTCTCAGCAAATACTAACATACAGGCTCCTCAGGCAATTATAACTACTACACCTTCTCAGTTTTGAATCTCTGCCCTCTCTACCTTGCAAGTTTTCTTTAGTAGTATTGGCAAGCATGCATTTCCATATTTGGTGGGATGCAAACGCGTTCCTGTGTTGTTACGTTAGTATGAAGTGCTTCCCATGCTAACGTTGCATGGTCTTGAAACAAATCTAAGAATCTATCCACTGTACGTGCAACTTTAAATCAAAATCATACACCATACTAAAACAGCTGCCACAGCCAAGGTGATAGGATAATGGCCGCTATCTTAATGTAGAAAGCTGCGCCTTAAAGCACACTGTGAGAAAGTACGCTGGCAATTTGAGATTCTTATCAACCTTTGTATGAACTTGCTGAGGTGTTTTTTTAATTCCATTAGTTGTTAATTGTGATTAGTATAACTTGAAGTTCATTTTTGTCACATAATATTAGTTGTTCACTGGAAGTAGTAAGCATAGGAAATTAGCGTAATATGCAAGTCTGACTTCAGAGTAGTCAGTAAATACTATGCTATTTCTGTAACTTCAAGTAGGTGCCTCAAAACCTTTGCAACAATCTTTTTGTACACAAAAGTAATAGTCTGAACATTTCAGTTACTACTAATTGCTCTCATTAGAGCTGACACAAATCTGTGAGACAAGCTGTTCGAGAGACTTAGTCCTTGAAGCCATCTTCTCTTAATTCATTTTAAATTGGAAATTGTTGTAATAAGATTCCAAATTCATTTTTCTTCTTCTGGAAAATTGCCCTGTAGCTTTATTGGAAAGGAGAGGAAAAAAAAGGGGGGGGGGGATTGCATGCCTGCTCTATTTTTATAGCATGAGGCACACTATTGTGGTTGGAGTAAGAGTTCTTGTATTTTTACAGCTTTATATGATTACTTGCAGCAGACCAGAGTACTACTTATACTTGTAATGTTGAAGTGATATCTGACGCAACTTGTCCTGGCAGTTTTCACGGAGCCTGACAATGTTTTGCTCATAAACAAAAGGTTTCTAATATTAAACAACTATCAAGAATTGCTTTACTATAACTTTAAATGTAATATTAGTAATATCCAAGTCTTTTTTTGTTGTGTTACTTGAATATTCAAGTGTTTAGTAAGAATTTGTTTCTCTATAGATCCTTTTAAGGTATTTAGTTTTCTGGGCTCAATCCTAATGAGGCAAAAAAGGACAGCAGAAGCAGTGCATCATAAATAGCAACATAACCAAAGACTGGCAGTGCATTTTGCTGAATATCAGGGTGATCGCATGAAAAATAAGGCCGCCTGCAAATTATAAGATTTAATGATGTGTCTTTTCAATGAGCAATATTGAAAGTAAGTTCAAACAGTTTATATCAATCTAATGTACTTTGGCAAATGCTTTCATTCTACTAGATTTTTCTCAGCAGCTGCTAAGACCAGTGTATTTGTTAAAATAGAAATATGATTCTTGCTGATAATGAGAAAGTTACGGCTGATGTATTTATGGAATGGAAGCATAGTACTATAAATTCATTTTTTTTTTCTTTTTGTATTTTTTCTTTTTTTAAATTTTAGAATAACCTAAATTGTCTCTTAACGCAGTGCTTTTCAGAAGTCTGTTTGATCCGTAGCAAAGAAAAGGTGTTGTTTCACTCTCTCCATGTGTTCTCATCTTCAGTTCTTTGCAGAGTACGAGCAATTTCACCAAGGAAAGAAATAGTCTTACAAACTTAATCATTATCATTTAATTTAATTTTTTTTAAAAAAGAAGCATTTGAAAGTACATTTTTAAACAGGTGAGACTGTTTCATGTTTCATTTTTTCCGTATAGCATTTACAGGTAGAAAGTTCCCTGGTGTCCTGTAAAAGTTCAGGGCGCGTGCACCGAGTCCGTATCTCGGCTGTTCATGCAGTCTCTTTTCAGTTACAGCTGAACAAATAGTGCCTCGTATGTCAGAAGGTTCTTTTACTGCACTGTTTTTGTAAGATGTCTGGGTTTGCGGTAACACAAAATATTCACAGTATAGGTGTTTTTGGTTCTACCCCTTCCATTTGGTGCAACTAGGAGCATGCAGTTTTCATTAATTGTTAAGCTTTTTTAGCATAAGATATAACTTTCAGTGCTGAGGTAATGAGATAAAACAAGCCAAATTATTTACCACTGACTGATACTTCATTAGTTTTCTTTATCTGATTTCAGAAACACTTAAGTGTGGTGATTGTTTTTAAGCAAAGGAAAACAGTGTGCGCATACTTTTGCAAGGTGGGATCTTTCTTAGCACTGAGTGTAAGAGAATTCATCATGATTTTCATGCTTTCACAAAGCTATTAGAGTGGTGTCGTGTTTTAAAAACTGTACCAAGCCAATTGGCGAAGTTATGTAGGTCAAGCAAAAACATACGTATTATCAAAATTTTAAAGTTAGCATGAAGAGAAAATAAAAAATAAATAAAGAGCAGCTGTTTCTGTGAGGAATGAAAGAGCGAAGAAACCCAAAGGTCAGAACCAACTACTCAGTTTCTGTTGTCTTCTCTAAATATTTTTTTTAAACTAAAAAATAAAAAATTTCAGTGTGTGGGGGCAATGGCAGTAAATGAACTGTTTTGTGCAAGCCAAGGGCATTTGCCTTGTACTAGAGATAGAGAGCCTTTGCAGAGCTTTATTTAGTTTAAAAAAAAAAAAGGGTGTTGTCTAATATCTGTCAAATGAGGCAGCTTGTGGACCTATCTGCTGCTGTTGTCAACCAGTTCTCTTGGATCCAAATGTGCAGCTGATGTAGATTGGCAGATTCATTAGCTTGTGTTGATCTCTGACAGCTTTTATTAGCTGCAGATCTTTCTCTTCAGGAGAAAGGGACTTTACTGTTAGATTAGTAGTTAATAGGAGGATGCATCTTGATTCTATAATGTGCAGTTTGCCTTGGTTTCAGGCCCTCGTGTATGATGTGCAGTTGAGATACCTGGAATCTGCAAGTATTGGGGCCTTTTTAACTGGGCAGTGCAGTTCAGGATGAAAAATAAGCTCATCAGCTATTTACATTGCTCATTGAGTTAGGGGGGAGGGTGTTTTTATTTTTCATTTTAACAAGGCAGTCTTGTTGTCTCAAAGTGTTTTCTTGGAGTAATTATACTGATTAGGACTAAGAGTAAGGCAGAAACGTCCACAAAACACTTACTGTCTCACACAGTGAAAACTGGGGAGACCTCATAAAAGATGCCCAGTTGGTGGCAGTACAGAAAGTAAATGTCTGCCGGTATCATGCTTTTTGCAGCTCCTGATATGGTAACGTATGTTTCTTTGCATGGTTGTAATAAGGACATTGGGACAAAATGAGGCTTTGTCTCTGGAGAAGGAGTTCCCTGCTCTGTAGCTCTTGCAATACTGCAAGGGTTTCTTGGGTATGGAGAGTCTGGAGAGGTGTCTGTTATATGTGCTGCTGTGGGCCTCTTTTGAAGTAGACTTGAGAGAAGAATGCAAGTTACATCATTTTAGATACTTCTTGTATGGGCATTCGTATCTAAGCAAGTTGTTTAAGCTCTCTATAGCTGATGGAGAGAAATAGCCACTTGCAGGACATTGCTTGTTTTTTTTTGTTCTGCATATCTTGATGTTAAAGATAGGTGGGAAGTGCTTTATCTTTCCATTATGTATAAAGGCAGCCTGAGTGATTTAAGCTAGGAAAGAGGAATCTCGCAGTTGGAGGGGTTTTTCCTTTTCCACATCAGCTGCTAGAAACGTCCTGGAGAAGACAGTTCTAACATCTCTCCCTCATTCAGGGTCTGCGTAGTTCGCAGCTCTTCTCCCAATTTTTTTCCTTAAATCTTATGAGAAATTTGTTTTTGAAAGTATTGATGAAAAATACTGCACACTTTTAGACTCTTACCACCTTGTTGCTGCTCACCTATAGCTAAGTCTCCTTTCCCGTGTGGTCTCCCAGCCTCTCGCGTCCTCAGCATCTCCCATCCTCAGCACCCGAGTGCTTTCTCAGGCTCGGTGTCCGCGTGGCACTCATCCGCCACGACACTGGGGAGACGAAAGGCAGGACTCGGACTATGTGGCAACCTCCTCCGTTCTCCCTGGGTTTTAAGTACTTGTTTAGTGGGGGAAGGCAACATGCAAGACAGCTCTGCATGCTGAATTTGTACTTCTGTGGCTTGGGTCCAGGTATGGCTTCACGGTTGCACTGCTGTGTTGTCCAAATTTGAGGCAGTAAAAAAAAAAAACAAGGCCAAAACCTTAAGATCATAAAGCCTTTTTATTGAATAAAAAATAAATTGTATTTTCCTCTATCTTCTTTAACAGTCTAGACATGACGTATAGTAATTAGGAATGGTTCATAGAATTTTTTCAATTGTACCTTTTATTGTTTGTAACAGATGTCTGATTAAGGGATTTTTTAAAATGAAAAAACAGTTTTCACTGTTGTGGCAAAAACACCAGTGGTAATATTAGCATTATAAAGAAAACGTAAGCTCCTAAAGCTAAACAAATAAGTTGAACTCGCTTATTTTTGGCAGCAGTTAGTTTTAGAAGAAAAATAGGAAGAAATTAGGTTGTATAAACATTAAACTCAGAGCTTTCCATCTGTAATGCATCAAATAGAACTGTGTGTGTTTAGGTTGTAGTTTACCTGTTTTTCTTCCCCTATTATAAACTTGCTGGAAACAGCTTGTTACAGGAAAGATTAATTAGCCTTTAGTGAGTTCATGCTAACAGTCTGCTCTATAAGGAACATGATTAAAATTTGAACTTAACTTGCCAAGTTTTTTTTTTTTATTGGAAGTTTACAGCCAGTTCCTTCACCCAGCAGAAAAGGGAAGCAAAATTTATTCAGGGTACACTTTGTGTTACCAGTTAGACTGTTGTTAGCATTTCAGAAGTCAAAACAGGCCTTACTTATATGTATTAAAACTTCAAGTTTCTTTCGTATCACAAGAGCAGTATAGAAGAATTTTAGAGGCTTACTCTTAATTGTGTTGAATTCATAATTTTCTCATTTTACATTCACTTGTCTCTGTACCGTGTAGATTTGTTTGACAATGGCTGATGAACAATTGTTTTAAATGCTACTTAATACCTTTCTTATCAACTTTCCAACTTTCTTTCCAAGAAACTTTCTTCTTCTGTATTTCACATATATTTTAATTTCAAAGCCTGATTTCTTTTTTCAGAGCAAGCACAAATATGTTTTGTTGGTGGTTTTTTTTAAAGTTTTAGATACCAGTTCGGTACATATTGCTACATAATGCCTGTTTTTAAATCTTATATGCAGGGTTTTATAGTGCAAGCACACGCTAAACTTTAATCACAGAAAAAGCCTTAATGATTACCAAAGTAGAGAGAAATATTCATCTAAGTAGCTCAGACGTGCGGCAATTTGTGCCATAAAAGTGTCCATTTTAGGCAGTTAATAGTGTACAGGCTTCTGCCAATGCAGCTTTGTCAAATATGACATCGCTTTGCAGTTATGACTGACAACCGGCAGTTATTTTTAGTGTTGGTCAGGTTAGATATAGTAAACAGAGTAAATGCTCCAGTTTTCCAGCTTTTAGGGAAGAGATGTCTGAAGTATTTGGTTTTCCAACGTCATTGCTAGGAAATATTTTGATTCTGTGCACGAATGTCAAGTTTTATGAGACTACGCATATTAGGTGGAATGTCATTCAATATCATTCAGCACAGGAAACTTATTTTAAAGCTAATGGTTATTTTCCATCTTTACATAGTAATTGAATTTATAAACGTTTCCAGGGAGTAGAGTTCTGTGTTTTTGTAACTATTAGTAGATGTGTTCGTATGTTAAAAATAGCTTTTATGGATGTGACATATGAGTATTGCTTTATAAAAGGACAAGTCTTCAGACAGTACCTTTCTGGGAGATAAGTGATGTTTGAGACGTGGTTGCTATGTAACTTTGTTCTTTGTAGCACAATTCCTTATATGGCTAAAAGCAGCCTTTTTTGTCATCTAATTGGAATCTCAAACCAATGAAGACATAAGCAGTCAAATGAGTTTTTTTTATAAATAGAACTTTGAGATGTTTATTGTGAAAACAGGAAATACCTTGTGATAAGTTTCATGGAATTTATAGTTGTTTCTTCCCTCAAATAAATTAAAAACTGAACTATCATTACTCACGTTTTAGAATATAAGTGCTTTAAAAGTGTCTCGTGGAGGACAGCATTTTAAAAATAAATAAATTTTCAAGTTTGACTAATAGGAAATACTGAATACAAAATAAGTTCTTGCAACAGAACTTATTTGATTAATTCAGAACACTACAGGGTCTCGAGAGTATTTGTTAACAATTAAATTCACTTTGAATTTATATCAAAATTGCCAGTGTTATTAATTCATCCTACAGTGATGTTTTCAAAAAGCGACCTTGATTTTAAACTTTAGATTCCTTGACTTCAAGCACATCTCAATTTTTTCTTTATACATCTTCCATTCCTTGCTAATAGTGTCGCACTTTTCTACAATTTTGGGAAATCCTGGAAATCTGATCCGGGAATCATCAAAGCCACAGAAGAACAAAAGAAAAAGGTAAACCCGTGAGTTACTCTAAAGCTGTTATGCTTCAAGGATGATTTGTCTTCTGCCAGTTGGTCTGAGCAATTTGCTGTTTAGTACAGGAAACTTCAATAAATTGTATAACAGAACATCTAAAATCTTGAAAGGTTTTTCCTTCCTCTGTCCTTCCAGATTTTTTTTAAGCTTGAAAGATATGTCTTACTAATCCAAAGTTGCACTGAGTAACAAAATAAAATTGCAACTTAAATTGAGAATATAAAAAGTTTAAAAAGCACTTAAGTGAAAATGAAAATGTGAAGTTACTGAATTTTGACTTAGTGGAACAAAAACAACCTGCTATGGAATAAGTGTTAGTTAATTTGATTCTCTGAAAACTTTCCAGATTTTCTATCATCTCAAGTTTTGTTTGCCTTAGCATCTAAATGTGTTTGTCTTACTTCCAAATACTTTAAGGATAAAATAAGCCAAACCCCTGGCAGTCAGTTCTTCTTTTGTCTTGCTTTACGTATAAGATCAGACATATCAGCTCTAATGATATTTTTCTGAGACTTCATAACACTGTTAGCAATTCTAGTTTTTTTTAATTGAAATGCATTTTTCTTAACAGTCAAACTGAGTATTGAAAATGCCAAAATTAAAAGCAGCAGAAACATTTTGCTGCTTTTTTGGGCAAAAAGTTCACATCCCACCAGAAAGTCAGTGAGATTTGTGCTTCTAGTTCACGCTGACTTGTGAAAACACCTGTGTGGATTGGCATCAGACCTCTGGGGATTGTGACCGTCTGTAGGGATAAAAAATGGCTGTGATTGTTTAGATGACTTTTGTTTTCTGATTCATTGTTACTGGGTTTTGTTAGTAGCTGTGCAGATTTACCATGCAAATTCCTTTTCTAATAGTGCAAATTTGCCAAAATGGATTCTAGTCTAAGTACTATTCCGTCAACTGGACTAAGTAATTACGTACCGCTTAGAACAGTCAGCGTCTGCACTCTGGTTCTGATTCAGCGAATTGCAGAAATATGCAATTCGTTTCATCGGCTTGCGTTAAGTAGTTGAACGTGGGCATAAAACCCCTTGCTGAACTGGACGTGACTTGTAGAATGAGACGTCCTCAGTTAGAGGCGTATCACTTTATGAATGTTTGAGATTTTTTTACACTGCAACAAACTGAATTACCAAACAATCTATTATTGGGGCGAAAACCACTGTGGGGCCTAGTGTCGTACTTTCTCCCGTGGTTCCATAATCTGTCTCCAAATGTGGTTAGGTTGGGTTAAGTTAGCCTTTAGCTGTTGAGCAATTAAGTAACCCAAAAAATGCTTTTAATTCCAGATGACCAAGTGAAGTATGTTTGGAAATGTGCAGTAGGCAACATTTTCAAATGTTTATTCTTCTGATATGTCTTGTCCCTTTTTGGTCTAGTTATTACGAAATAACCTAAGTTACTCCGATGATAATTGAAAAAGTAATTAAAAAGCACAGAGAATAAAACTAAGGTATACAAAGCACAGAAAACTCTCTCTAACTTGAGTACTCATGAGTCTCTATGCATTATACATTTTAAGGAAGGTTATATTTAGAAGTGTCTCTGCTCCTGCTCAGTTCTGTTCCCCTGAACTTTGGGATCTCACTGGTGGATAATTACTCAACTCCAGTGCTGAGCATCCCAACATGTAAATTCCTTTTTGCACCTCTTCATTAGTGTATAGATACTTCCCCCGAAATCAGAGGAACTGTTTGTGAAATTCTCCAAAATGTATTAGAATATCAAAAGCCAGACCAGCAGAAATTAAAGAACTGCAAAGACTGTTGCAAATTGAAGATTGACAATTGGCTGGGATTGCAACCTCTTATTGCCCTGAGATCAGCAAAGAAAGCATTAAGATCCCGATTGGTATTGATTGTAGCTTTTACTGACTATTTTGAGGAAAGAATTCCAGATTCTAGAATATTTCCATGCACTTTTCTGACCAGTTATTAAGAGGAATATCTGGAGAGGAAAATTTTGCAAATTCAGTCAATTTACTTTATTTGGTCGTCATCTCATTTTAAAAAAAAAAAAAAGTGATATGCTATACCATGAGTATTTTGTATTACTTAAGCTGTAAGAAACAGGAGATTTGGCTTGCTTATACCTTTCCTTTGTAGAAGCTCAACATCTAAGTGAAGAGGTGAATACAGATTTGAAGGTTGTGATGGGATACTTCTGGAAATAAAGTCTGGTTTTTAGAGTGACTGATTCTGCTAGCTTCCTGAAAGGTCTTGTGTGGTCCTGTTTAGAAAATCAGCTTCACTAATTTTGATAGATTTAACACTAGGCTAGTCAAACTGGTGCTGACCGTTATATGGATGTATCAGAATTAACATAAGCTTGCTTTTTGTCTGATTAACTCTGGTTAGAATAGGGATGAGTAGAAGCTAGAATTCATTCCGAAATAAGTGTCTATATTGTTTTAATTAAGTAGGTTGAAAATCAGTTTCAGCTGAGTGTAAGTTGTTCCTGTGTGTAGAAAGTGCCTGAGATAGAGCTCACAATCCTGAGTCTGAGGTGCAAATATTATATTGGTTGTCATCGTTTGTCTATATGCTAAATTCTGATTTCATTTCTGTTTTTTCTGCAGACGATAGTAGAACTTGCAGAGACAGGAAGTCTGGACCTCAGTATATTCTGCAGTACCTGTTTGGTAGTGTATTTTTTTATCATTTGCAGCCCTGATTTTATTTTATTTTAATGCTGGGCCTAAACTAAATATTCATATCCCGAATACATTTTTTTACTCTAATCATGCAATTTCAAAGATGGACTGTATTTGCAATCTTTCATTAAAACAGTGTTTTCAATAAATAATGTATCCATTACTCAAAAAACAACCCTGCAATGATAAGAGGGAAAAAACTGATCATTGTGCAAGTGGTGTACCAGTGTCACAATCCAAATATCCACTATGTCCAGCAAGAGAACAAATGGTTGGTTATGCAAAGAGTAAGTTATAAAAACTGACATTCTACTCTCTTTGTACCTCCATTGTAAAGCAATGTGATATTTTGAGTAAAATACTTTTCACAAATCAATTGTACTTCTCAAAATTTGACAGCAACCTGAAAAATCTTAACTTTGTACTTTTTCCTCTCTATTTGGCAAGCTTTATATCCGTTGGACTAGTTGTTTTTTTAGTTCCACCACAAAATATGTGGAGAAAATAACTGTTAAATGAAAAAAAAAAAAAAAGAAAAAAGAAAAAGTAGCCATAGTAAATGTAATGCTAGTGTTCCTTTTTTAGAAAGATAACTAGTTAGTAGAAAATTATCAAGATTGTCAGTGTTATGCTATAATGCTCTCTAGTATGTAGAAGGCAATTGATGCTAATTTAAAAAATTTAGAATCATTTCATGCACTTACAGATGGTATTTCTTATGGAAAACACATTCTTAAAATTGAATCTGGAAAATTACGTACATATGTGATACCTTAAAGTTACGTGGGGATGTTATATAGCTAGATCTCAGAATACTTAATATAGTTTTCTTTTCACTGCCATTTTATTTCTTTCAGAATATAACCTTTTCAAAAACATTGGAATAATTTAGCATTCTGAATGCCACTGAAATTTAGTCTTTTTTAATTCTATTCCTCTCTTTGGAGAAGAAGCTGGAACAGTTTTAAATTAGCAGTCAGTTATGAATAATGACAGACTCGTAGAGCTCAAACTCATGCTATTCTGTCATCGTAAAAAGCTGAAGTGAAAACTGGCACGTCAAGCTCAGTAACTGGAGGGACTAAGAGAATTTTGTATAAAAAAAGAAAAAACCTTTAATAAGTGAAAATCATCACTGAAATAAGTTTGTGTTCTACATATATGTTTGTGTTACGTAGTATGTAGATAAAGTTTGGTGCTAATTTTAATGCAGCCTTAGCATTAGGCTTGAAGTTCTGTAAGGGATTAACAACAGAAAAGTCAATGTACATTTAAGTCACGGGTTTTTTTCTATAATAAAACTGTCAGATTTCTCTTACATTTCTAAACAACATTAATGTCCGTTACAGATACGGAAGCCGGTGAGGTCCAAACATTGTGGTGTATGCAATCGATGTATAGCAAAGTTCGATCACCACTGCCCATGGGTGGGTAACTGTGTAGGTGAGTAATTTGCCAAAATATAATTTGATCATAATAGTGAAAGAAGGGAAAAGCTTGTGAAATCGATCCCTACATGTTGTACAGGATTTTGTCTGTTCTTGTCTGATGATGACAGTGATTTGACTTCTGCAAAAATCTGAAGTGGGGGGGAAAAATCTGCTGAGGGCTTTTAAGAGAAGGAGAAGCCTTTTGAATACTCAGTTTTTCTTTTCTTCTGTGTATAATTCTCTGCATTATTCTCCTTTGTATTGTCTGTTGTGTACACATCCTCAAAACGTCTTTGTTTCTAGTTCAGTCTTCTATCTGTATATTTTTATTAATATAAACTGTAGCAACTAAAAGACTTGTAGCTTAGCTGCATTTTCACTTTGTGCAGAAAGGGCATGTACATATTCCACAACTATTTATTCATTATATGATATAAAACTTAAATTGGAAAATCATAGGTAAAGAGAAAATTAATGGGAAAGTATATGCAGTCAAAAATGTAATAATTACAGCTGTTGGATTCAGAATGACTTCCCATTGAGGAGCTGTTCTTTTTGACCTCCCTCTAGTCATTTATTCTCTCCCATGATGATGGGAGGAACAGATGTATAACAGGAACGAAGTCTAGAAATGCTACTATTCCCTGCCTTTTTGAGAAGCTTATTTGAAAACCCTTGTTACGCAGGGGACACTGAAGGCTTTTCACAGCTAGGAAGTGAATACAGCTTGCTTCACCCTTTTTCTGGACGAAAGAGGAGGTAGCTTTAATCTTGGGAAGTAAGTAGGACTTGGGTTCATCAACATGATGCAACTGCAACTAAACACTATAGTCTTTCCAAACGTATGTAATAATGGATGGTCGCAGCAGTTTAGAAAGACTGTCCTTATGATTAGGAGTACAATTTAAATTCCAGCCCTGGCTATTTTAATATGGCGTCACTGAAGTCCTATTGAGATGAATTCATCTCACTTCCTCCTATCTCATTTTTTCTAATGATGTCGCTACCTCTTGAGTTACATTTTAAATGTTTTACCATAAAGACCAAAGAGATCTTTTAAAAAAAAAAAAAGAAAGAAAGAAAAAGAAAAAAAAAGAAAAAAAAAAAGAAAAGAGGAAAAAAAGGGATGGGGGAGCTTTTGGAACATGTTTAATGACTGTTTGATATTTGTTTTATAAAAGTGCTCAGGAATGTCCAGTACTTTAGGCAGTGGTTTGAAAAGCATGAAAACCAAATGGGGGAGAAAGAGCCTAGCTTGTTTTTAATGAGAGAATATGTGAGTAATGGGATTATGTTAGTTGGAGGAAGTATTTAAAAAAAAAAAAATGTGGTGCCAAAAAAGCAAGTCCTCCTGCAAATAGACTTGTACAGATTGGGATAATTGGTGGTAAAAGTAGACGTCAGAACACTTGGAAGTATGCTGGGAAAAAAAAAAGGCATTAGAAATCCAGTTATGGGAACAGTCCTGATGGTCTAGATGACCTTATATGGCTTTTCTGTCTCTAATTTGTACATGGTGCCTCTGAGCATAACATTACAAAACAAAATCCATTCTTAAAACAGCATTTGTGGTATGCTTGCCAAAAAAGGGAAACATCAGTTATGACTTTCTAGAAAGGCAGAATTTGGAAATGTTTTATGTAATCTTCCTTTGGATATGTTAGAAGGATAAGAAGAATTTTACTAAAGATAGGATTAGGAGATATTGTAACAGTGTGTACAGGAACTCTAAAATAGTTCTTTTTGGATGAAAGTTGTAGCACAAAGATCACAGATCAACACTTTCACTACTGAAAAAAGTGACAAGAAGTGCAAACTGTTTTAGAAATCAAGAATTGTTGGGTGTTTGGGGCAAACTATATTCATCATAACTGCAAAATTTTAGTTAACCTTGCAACAAGCAAATCACTAATAGTGATTAAACCTATCTTTTAATACAGTATCAAAATTATATAATATATTTTATAGTTGGTGATTTAAAAATCTGTTGATTTTTCATTTTTAACACTTACATCTCAAACTGCAAACTTGCAACAGAAGTTTAGTTTTCAAATAATAGCGTGAAAGGAGATTATCACTGAATTTTGTCATGTTATATATCACGCTGATTATGCTGAAGTCATATCGAGTTGTTGTTTCAATAGCAGTGGCTCAGAAGTTAGGCCACTTGTGTATAAGTAATTATTTTACAGTTTAGAATAATGATTTTTCCCCCCCCCCTTACCAATTCTTCTCCAAGAGGCTGTAAGTAGGAAGAATGAAGAAATGAACAAACCATCCAAATTATGCAATATGATTCCATTAATTTAAAAATCAATTAATTGTGTTATTTATGTATGAGTAACATAAACACAACCATATAAAGGAAATCAGCAACTATTTCTTACAACATTGTTTTTAACTGTAGAGGATCACTGCCACTGTTCCTGCCAGCTCAGGGATGACACGGTAGGGAATAATGCTATGTTTTGCCCAGTCTTATTTAAGATCCAAAAGAAGGGCAGTTTTGTTGCTTCTACTTTCTAAAGTCTTTATTTAACTGTGACCAAGGCCGTACCTGTCTCACAGTTCAAACAGTCTGTGCTATATACAGTTCATACACCAATTTTTTATCAAATACGGTGGCATTTCATATAAAGTAGAATGTTTGGTTTGGTTTCACTGGAGGTGCTACTGAAAGGAGGATTTCCTCAAGTGCTTATGAGTTGGACCTCTAGATCAGTATTTAACTTTCTTTTTAAGAAGAATGTCTTTCATAAATCATAGCAGTTCTGAGATTTAGGATGCAAATGGAAGCAATACCTTTGAGGCCTCCCTAGCACTATTTCTTATACGCTCTTAGCTGACTGAAGGCAATGTTACAGCGTATTTTACGTGTGAAGGAACTTGTTTGATTTTTCAGGGAAATGTCTTATGCTTAGTCTAGTGTGTGTTGTATGTTTATTTTTCCTCATCTCTTATTTATACATTCTTTCAACTCGCTTGCTAAAAGCACTTGATTATTTTCAGCCTCCAGAGGATGCCCTTGTTTTAGTAGGCAAAACATTTGACGTAATAAACAAATAAATGCCATGCTGGTACATGCTAACAGCCCAATCTTTTGGGGCCCGTTATCCTCTCTGGGTTTAGTTTACAGCCTAGAGCTGCTGGGATGTTACAATAGTGGACATATTTTAGAAAGGGGAAAATTGAGCACTTCAGAATTATGATGTACTCACATAAGAAGCATATTTGTGGCTGTTCTGGTGTTTAAAAATAGATTCACTTTTAATAACAGCTCTTATTTTTCTAAATTATATTTAAATTCAGCTATAAGCAGGATGTTTGGATTTTCTTTCCATTCGTTATTTTAGCCAGGTATTTAGGCCACTTCAGTTAAATGTGTTTGCTTCCAGGTTCGGCTAGAGATTTTGTTTGTATTTAGCTGCATCAATTGAGAAGGCTTAAGTGTAAATTATGTTTTAACTTATGTTGTCACAGAAGGATGTGTATTTTTTCATACTTCCATTTCTTTTAAGTAAATGAACTCTGCAGTCTGTCAATTTTTGGTGGGGTTTTTAAAAAACATCGGAGTAATTCTTGGCTGCTCTTGGCTCTGCAACAGCTGTTACTGACACCGCTCTAAACAGTGTCTCTCAATAATTGCATTAGTTCATGACAGAGGCTACCAATGAAATGCATTCCTGTGAATTTCAGCTGTAATATGACAGGAGTTCAAACAGCTTTCTCGTATGCAAACCTTAAAAGTCACAAGGCTAAATTTCACTTTATTAGAGGTTATAGAGGCCTAATAGGTTGGAGAGTAGTAAGTAGTACCTCTAAGCAGGGAATTAAACTTTCTGATGTGGTGTTGTCTCTTTCCTGAAAGTGTTGTAATTTGATCCCCGTTGTTCTTGTGCAACTTTAGGAGCAGGGAACCATCGCTATTTTATGGGGTACCTGTTCTTCCTGCTTTTTATGATCTGCTGGATGATTTATGGATGCATCTCTTGTGAGTAAATGTTTTCTTTAATTACTTGTAAATACTACTTCTCCTGGGTTGGTTGGGTGGTTTGTTTTTCCTTCAGATTTTTACCTTGTCAGAGTTATGATACTTTTTTTATTCTGAAATTAGACTGTAAAATCCTTGCCTGTATCAGGTATTTTAAGTCAGAAAAGGATGTTTTTCTGGTCCTAGATTTTGTCTTCATCACAGCTGTATGTGTGAATGCCATGTATCAGATGAGTTGAGAAAAAAGCCCAGAGGTAGGGAAAGGAAGAAGGATAAAATAGAGTTGTTCTAACACATTGTCGTTGCCTTATTTCAAGTAGTGGAATATGCTCAAATGTTGGCATCGTGTTGGTGTATAGTAAATGTGTGATCTTAAACGTTCTGTGTGTTTTCTGACACTTTGTTTTTTCCTCTAGACTGGGGTTTCCACTGTGAGACAAGTTATGCAAAAGATGGATTTTGGACCTATATTACACAGATTGCTACCTGTTCTCCTTGGATGTTTTGGATGTTTTTGAACAGTGTTTTTCACTTCATGTGGGTGGCTGTGTTACTCATGTGTCAGATGTATCAGGTATGGAAGAGCACTTCATCTGTAATGCTGAATGTTGGGAGTGGCAGAAGAATGTTATTCCTATATATCAAATGCTTCCATCATTTTAATTTAAATGTTCATTATGCAAGACTGAGTGTTCAGCCTCTGAGCCACATATGGAGGAGGTCTTTGGATAGAAGACATCATTCACTTCTCAGTTGTTTTTTGTTTTCCTTTTAAGCGAAAGGTTAAAATATCTACCCCCCACTTTCTGTTCTCAGAATGACAAGAAAGGCAAAATAGTCCAGAGAAAGGCAATAAAGAGTAATAGAGGCCTAAGATTAAAATGTATGGGTTGAAGTAGGAATAATGCAGTAGGAATAAAGCAGAAAGAGGGTAGTAACTGCAAAGGGGATGCACTATTTTCTTAAACTACTTGAATATGATTTGTTAGGATCACATGACTGTACTCTAATCTGAGCAAAACCAAATTCTTCATTATATAAGGCAAGTCATACTGAAAGCCTTTAATGAACAGTGAGACTTAACAATTAATGTAATCTTTCCAGAGATAATGGAAATTAAAAAAATCCTCTGAGGCATAGGTAAAACTATGCAGACAATTTGAATTTTGTCCTCCTTTTTTCTATAATGCTCATGATTTACAAGATGCACCAATTTCAAAATCTTATCTGTATGAGCCAGGATCATTCAGTCTTCTAGAGGTCTTTCCCGCCCAAGACAAATGAGCTAAGGTAACTAACTGCATGCATTTCATATGGCTTTCAAATTGGTCTAAACCACCAGACTTCTGAAGCAGAATAAACACACAATTTTCTAGAGAGCTTTCCAACATGTTTATATAAGGATCCATTAAGCTTTGTGTGATTCCTGTGAATATTCTGTGGTTATTCCTTATTGGCTATTGAATATTGGAATCATTCTGTGGTTCCTGTGAATATTATTTGTGATGAGTCTTTGAATTATATGCCCCTTTGAAAAAGTACTTCTCTCATAGTATTTTGTGTCGTTAGTCTAGTGCAAAACAATTCTAGCATTTGACTCTTTTTTACTAAACCTAGAAACATGAATCAAAAGGAAATGCAAAAACTGAATACATAATTGTTCCTACATTTCTTAAAAGTATTGTGCATGGGAAACTTAAAAATCATTTTCATCTGTTTCTTTGGACATTGCCATAGTGATGAAATTTAAGAATGTTTTCTTGATAACCTCTTTTACTTTACAGTTCTACAGCCCCTGCTGTTGCTGCCTTTTTCTTTCCTTCCGCGTAAAAATTAAGTTTTGACTTGTCCTCCTTACTAAACTGGCCAAGGTTATTGTTAAAGCTCTAGCTACCACCTCAGAAAAATAATTTAAAACCTTGACTGCTTCTTTCCCCAAAGTTAGCATTAAGAGCTCATCTGTATGCACTGGCACGAAACTCCATTAGGTTTCATGGGGGCAGAGAAAACACTTGAGACAACGCTCAAGAACTTCCAGATGAGGCAAGCAAACTCAAATTTAACCATCTCAATATTCTTGCTCCCATAACATGCAGTAGAGTTGAATATTTGTGTTTCACTAGGAATTACAAAACTTTATCTGCTAGCGGAGTTCTCATATTTTTGTTTTCTATACTGTTTCATTACAGTAAACACCAGTTTTACGTGAGATACCTCTTTAGGCCAAAGCAGTTGGAAAGCTACTACAGTAAATCACAGTCTTTGGGCCAAATACCTTGTGTCTAAACCTTTTTTCTGATTGTTTTTTTATCTTATAAATAGAAAAGTTAAAGTTATGTTGTTGCAACAAAGTCATAAATGGGAAAGAAGTTACTACTAGAACCAGAATTCCAAAAGAAAAATGAAGTGATTTGAATGCTGTGTAAAATAACTGTTTACAGCAGATTTCAGCTGGCTATGTAGAAATAGCTAAAGGCATCTGTCATGAACTATCAGATTGGGATTTATTCAATGATCATGATTTATTTCTAATCACTTTCAAAATTAAACCTTTTGTGCAATCTGATACAGCTGTTTGTACTTGGAAGTTTCAGATAGTACAGCTGACCGAGCTTCATGGATGGAGTTGTGTTGCTTCTGTTATGGCTCATGGTGTTTTGTGTTGGGACCCTACAATCCCCCCCTCAAAAAAAAAATGTCCTTCAAAAGAAAAAAATATAAGAGGAAATTTGGTCATTTATCAGTCTATCTCAGTGAGGCTTGCTCGCATGTTTTACACGTGCTAAATTGCTTGCTTTTCTCCTATCTTCAGATATCTTGTTTAGGTATCACTACAAATGAAAGGATGAATGCAAGACGATACAAGCACTTTAAAGTTACAACCACATCTATTGAAAGCCCATTCAAGTAAGTTTTAAAATGCAAACATGTATTTCTCATCTGGGTAATCACGTACATGACTGAATTGCACAGTTGCTTGAAATGGAACTTAACTAAATATTTTAAAGTATTTTCCTTATTTGGAATGCTGAATGTCAGCCATTTTTACACATTCTACCCAGTCATAGGAAGGCAAAAACATTTTGTAGTGACTCTGGACAGGGATGCATAAATCCAGAAATTAATGCTTTCCAGTAAGTGGTCATATTTTGCTGTAGAGTTTTGAGGGGAATAAATTGAAAATACCCTCTTTGTAAATCTGAGGTATCCAAACCGGGCGTAGCTGCTTACTGCATAGTGCAGGCATTGCCCTGGATCTTCACCTCCACACTAGGCACTTTCTACCGATTGGTATTAGTGTGCTGTTAGACTTGCTGCAGCGCCCTGGCTCCCCTTTCTTTTTACTGTGGGGAAGAGGCAGCACTTCTTGCTCAGGAGGAAGAGTGCGGCCAAAACTGGGTAAGAGGAAGGGAGCAGGAAGTCCCAGGGACGGAAGCTGATGTTGGGTGGGTGAGACGTGGGCTTTTGGGTATCCCTAAGTACAGGGTAGGTTGGGGTTCTGGTTTCTGTAGTGGTGAGGGTGTGAGCTGAGTGAGTGAAGGGAGCTAGGAGATGTTACAGCACTGGGATGTCAGTACTTGAAGGGTGCCAGTATGGTGGCATGGAGCAGTCTGCAAAGTCAGAACAGGAAGTAGGTGAAGCCGTGAGACTGCAATATTGATGTGCCGAGGGTAAGTTAAGGAACAGAGAAAGGGCACAAGCACATCTCATACTGCTGTGTATGCTATGTCTCGTGTGGGAGCTGCCTCTTTCAGGTGGTACCCAAGGAAACAGGAGATGGGAGTCTTTCTTGTAGCTTGATTTTTGTGCTAAAAGAAGAAAGTTTCTGAGAGATTTTTCTTGTTTTTTATATCCCTTTATGCAAAACTTGGTGAGAAATAGATAAGCATCTTGATATGTTTGCACTCTTCCTAGAACTAAGAGTTGTAACAAAATCATGTAATTATTGTGCCTGAAGAACACAGAGCTGTGGACAGGATATGAAAAAAGTTCTATTTTCTTCTCCAAGTTGGTGTCACATTCACAAACCATTTTCACTGAAATAACTAATATTCTAAAAACTACTCCTGCAAATAACACAAGAAGTCTAAAATAACCAACTTGGCATTGCCTATCAGATGGAGCACTGACATCAAAAACTCATGTTCTCATATTTGCTTCGACGTAGTCTGACATATGTCATGACACAAGCTTCCCCTCCAGAAAACGCAGATCTATTCAAATTATGTGTAATTAAGTACAAAGTAAGATGTTTTCCTGGAATTTTTGATATAGGTATCTTAAATATTTGACAAACTGATTCAGCAGTGGGAATGCTTCAACTTTTTATTCATTTAATTCCATGGGATAATGCTGTCTTAATTTTGTGCTGTCTGGGGACTTAGTTGGTCTTAGACCTGCAGCTGGTGAACCAGCATGTATGACAGGCATAAATCAATCTGAAGATCAGTGTTGATAAAAATGGAAGTTACTCTAGGAACACGTTTACTTCATGCTTTCTAGTGTCTTGCATCCATATGATATCACTTTTCTCTTGGGAAGGGAGCTGATTATCATGATATTGTCCATCACATGTTCCTTTTTTTTTTTTTTCATGCAGTGTTGGCAGATAGTGGAAGAAAGTTAGTGTCTTGGCTGTGTTTGGGACCCAAACATTGATCAGTCTGGTGACTTGTTCTTATTTCAGAAACTGCTCATCAGCAAGCATTAAGATAACTCTTTATATGCATTGGTTTTGAAAAGGCAGGAACTGAAAGGGAGAGAAACTAGACTTGTAGGTAGATGAAAAATATACTTTGTTAGATGAGCTATAATATTGCTTACTAACATCTGTTTTTGTTTTGTTTTCAGCCATGGATGTATAAGGAATATTATAGACTTCTTTGAATTCAGATGCTGTGGTCTTTTTCGTCCTGTTATCGTGGACTGGACAAGGCAGTACACAATAGAATATGACCAAACTTCAGGATCAGGCTACCAGCTAGTGTAGCACCACGTTCATCCTGTGAGCATATCATATCTGAGTGGTGCCTGAAAAATTTTTTCTCTCTCTCTCTCTCTCTCTCTCGAATCCACATCCCTTGAAGAGTAGCATGCTATGTGTAGGGCTGATGATGAATCTTAAGGTACCTTCTCTTCATCAGAATTTTATTAACAAAAGTAAAAATGGACAGAATAAACTGCCAAACCTGATAAGGAAGAGGAGGAAGATCAAAAAGGGATTTTAACAGTTCTTAACATGAGAATTATTCACAACAGCATATTCACAGTACTTGTTGTTGGGTTTTTTTATTTAAGATCTTTCACAATGGAGCATGAGACTATTGAAGTATTGACCTAAGTAGTTATGTTGTGCTGAGCAGGAATATTCATTGCCCAGTACAGATAATTCCACTGGAACAAGAATCCAGATTAAAAAAACCTCTAAATTTCATGATGCAAAGCTTACTAAGATTGCTACGTTGTAGTTCCTGTAATGTGACTTTTTAATACAGGTTTTCTATAGTGTTATGTACATTGAAAAATGTGCATTCCAATACTGTGATAAAAATCATGTGGTGGGAATCCCTTGTAATGTGTTTAAGTTATTGCAGTAGAGCACGTCAGATAACGTTAACAAAAAGTATGTTGCCTACGTTTTTCAGTGATTGTTATTGCTACCAGTTCCTGGTACAATTAAATACTTGTAATAACCCTGTTCTGAGATTATATAGTCTGAAAATAAACAGTTGTGCAAATAAGGAAAGCTCTTCTGTCAAAGTTAAAGCCCTGCTTAAATGCATGATACACCTTTAAAACTAGATTACAGTATATAGTATTCAGCAAAAAAAAAGTGGAAGGAGTTTATCTTTGAAGTGGTTGTATAAACAACTTTTAAAATAGTAATGTTTCAATATTAGGTTTCACCCCCATGCAATACTGTGTAGTGTAATCAGAAACATGTTCAAAGAGAAGTGGCATAAGGAGAGCCAAGGATGTGACTACAAAAGTCTCAATTATAAAAAGACAAGATATAAGGGTTTTAAAATCAATGTGACTACAGAAGAAGAACCTAAAGCGGTCTGAAATACTTTGTTGCATGTAAATTAGTGGAAAACAATCTTAAATTTAAAAAGTACGATCCCAATAATAGCATGTACAAAAAGAAAATCTGATGCAACAATCTGAGGAAGATGGTGTATCAGCAAGTGGAAATCACCCTTATTTTTATTTTTGTTAAGTTCTCATGCTACAAATATGTTTGGAAGGTAAGGAATGATCTGAAATTGCATTCCAAATGGGCTTTTTATGAATGTGATGCACTGATTTTTGTTATGGTGTTTTCATATACTCATAGTGAACTATTCACTGCTTCCTTAACTATTGTTTACAGAGAGACTGAGAATCAGGTTAGTTCTCTTCTAAGTGCTGTAGCAACCTAGTGGTTCGAGAAACCTGTGAGGGGAGTTTGGGGAGGGGACCTGAAAGCAGATGACTGAGACCAGTGTAAAGAATGTGTATCTGTATATAAATAATTTATCAAATAGTTTTCTCTTTGTGAGTGTGTGTTTAGTATATTTAAAGCTGCTCATTTCATTTTATTCAACCAAAAAGTGTAGGAAGATATCTAATGAGCTTTTAGTGATGTTCAATATTGCTGTTAATAGACATTATACCCTGCAAATTCACTGCATGTTTGATGCTTGGCAAAATTAGCGTTTTCTGTAATATGCAGATTACAGGTAATAAAACAATCTAGTGGTATTCCCGCCCCTTGCCTTAGTAAGAGGAGCAGTGAAACTGTAAATAGTTGATGTTCAGTATTTGCAAGTAAAACATTTTTTTCTGTAGTTGTTCCTTGATCTCAAGACACGTGCTTAGTTTGCAGGTACCAGATATCAGGATTTACGGAAGTGCAACGTTAGAGTACTTGAATGTTTAATACTGGAAAAATCAACATCTTGGACACAGTTTTAATGGGAGAGATTTGGGTGTAGGGGTGGCAAGAAGCTTTTGCTATTTTTGTCAGACAAAATTTGTAATCCCAATGATGACACATTTTACTTCAGTGAAAAGAGTTGTCACCAGTCATTCGTATTTTTTATAATCTGAGAAAGCATGAAGACTTTACAACGTTGTTTATTTTAATTAGCAGTAATGTTCTACATTTTCTTCCTTTTTTCTTCTCTTCACATTTCTGTTGGGGGTCGGTTGACATAAAGAACGTCAGTCCACTTTATTAAATGTATCATAGCACCAGAAGAGCAGCAGTTCAGTGTGTAATACGAGTTCTGGGTTAAATTGCACAATTGCATTCACTACCATGAATTGTGTCATGCAGTCCGCATAACAAATGTTTGCAAAGAGGAGGTGATCTTTGGTAATAAGAGACAAATTCTGCACTGTTTAGTTGCTAATAGCAAAACTGTCACCAGAGAGCTAAGACCTGCAGAATTTGAGCAATAGTAAAAACAATGGTTGTTAATCTTAACTTGCATATATGGATTTGGGGTGTTTAAACAGTTTCCAGTGCAAAATGTAACTTGTCTTGAGTAATATTGAATCTTTTGATGTGAAATCATCAAAACAAGGTTTGGGGGGCGGAAGCCAACTATGCAGCGTTTTTCTGTCCAGTTATCAAACATACAATTCACTTATTGTACCAAAACTGCATTGCTTCTGAAGATTAAGCTGATCCAGACTAAGAACACATCAGCTCAAGTTAATCTGATATTGGTAGAATTAATGGGAATTTTGTCTTGGCCCTAAACATGTGCTGTTTCTTTGCAGGTTTCTATATTCTTTGATGTCCACCAGTTTTTTTAGTTAATATGCATAAAACAGCATCACTACATTTTAAGCTATGGATTTTTTGTATATTCTTTATTTATAACTGTGCCAAGTATTATTTTAATACCGTCGAGATCTTGATGTATTACATTGTGAACAAAAATATCTGTAAATGTTTAATAAATTAGCTCTCCTTACATAAATTAAATCTGTTAAATTTTGTAAGTTATTAATCAAATAAATATTGACTCTTAGATGCAGTGTTTGTCTTGACTTGGGGTGTGATTTCACACTGTCGTGTTTTAGACCAACTTCAGAAGCCACACCATGAGAAAATAGCTGCTATCTTGCATCTGATTTGAGTGATTTCTATTTCCAGAAAGGATGCCAACCAAGTGCCTTAGAGATAGCAGGTACCCCGTTCTGCGCTGACATGAGATCCTGTAAAAATTTTCTTCGTTGGAGTTCAATAAATTACACCTTTGTGCCGTGGATTATAAATTGCTGTTCACTTGTTAGATAAACCTTTCCTTTAATCAAAGTATGTTGGCAACATAACCGTTTCTTAAGGGAGAACGGCTGTTAAGGTGCATTTCAGGTGGCCCAATGTAGATGGTTAATGACATTTGAGATACTCTGAGTGTTAAACAAGATATCCATAGGGGTCTAGTAGATGGGATGACAAAGTCATATACCTTCCTAGAAGTAAGAGTGCCTTGACTTTAACTGTCTGTGCTAAAAGGTAGATTTTAGTAGAAGCAAGGTAACCAGCCAAGTCAGAACTTACCAGAATACATATAGGCAGCAATATCTAATAATATATAAAGCCAAAACTTCAAAGCACACCTGGGGGGGGGGGGTCTGTTTTGGGATCAAAGTATGTTGGCAACATAACCGTTTCTTAAGGGAGAACGGCTGTTAAGGTGCATTTCAGGTGGCCCAATGTAGATGGTTAATGACATTTGAGATACTCTGAGTGTTAAACAAGATATCCATAGGGGTCTAGTAGATGGGATGACAAAGTCATATACCTTCCTAGAAGTAAGAGTGCCTTGACTTTAACTGTCTGTGCTAAAAGGTAGATTTTAGTAGAAGCAAGGTAACCAGCCAAGTCAGAACTTACCAGAATACATATAGGCAGCAATATCTAATAATATATAAAGCCAAAACTTCAAAGCACACCTGGGGGGGGGGGGTCTGTTTTGTGCGGGGTATGGGTTTAATAAATTGAGAATTGCTGCTGCTGCTGCTCTTCCCTTCCTCGGGCAGTGGTTCTGGTGGGGTGGCTGGACCCAAGCTTACCTCTGTTGGCCATCCTTCAGCTTGCCTTGTGAAGGCCAAGAAAGCTACTTTCTCCTTTAAAAAGACTCACTCTGAAGATGGCCATTGGAGATTTGAGATGTTCCCTCGCTGCAGTGGCTGCTGTTGGGAGGTACAGGTGTGTTTCTCATGACTTCAAAGCTGCTTGCTTGGTTTGTTTCATTTGGGAAGAAGCCTGCCCTCTGCATCCTCATTACGGCATGATTGGAGTCTCTTCCTTGTGCCTTCCATGAACTGCCTTTACATGAAATTTTTTTTTGCTCTGAAGACAGTATTTACAGGCAAACACTTGTGTTTGGATTTTAGCCATTTTATGGCACTGAATGGGGACCAGTAAAAATTGCACCTACTAATTTGAGGTTGAATTTTTTTGCAAAACTTTTAAACTTAGCCCCATATTCACATTGTCTGCATGCCTACATACTACTGAAATACTTTTAGATGGTGAAACCGAAGTTGTTCTTTTAGAACCAGTATACTCTTCAATTCGAGCTTCAAATGAAGACTAACTCGAGGCATTACTCCAGCCTGGGCTGAGCGTTTATGCACCAGTTGCTGCTGAAAAGCTGACAGTAACCAAGTGAAAGCACTGCAATGCAAGTTACACATTTCTCTTGACAAGTTTCATGTCTTTATGGTTACAAGTTTTTTTTCTTTTTTGTGGTTAAACTAAATAACTAGTTGAGTTAGAGTAGTGTAGAACTGTGAGTTATTGCTGTGAACTCCCTCTAGGAAATGCCAGGAAGGCCTATGATTTTTAGTAACTTGAATCACTTCTCATCATTTCTGATCATTTTTCTTTCTAAGAATTGAAAGCTTTTGTTTATAGCAAAACGAACCGTGTACTGTATGCCAAGTCTTGTCAGCAGAAATTGCACCCACCATCTCTGCTGATGTGGCTGGTTTTTAAGTCGTTTACAGTAGCTACAGCAAATAATGGGAAGCGGTTTCATCTGCTTAGGCTGTTAAAGACTCTGTGTGTGCGTGTGTGTGTATATGTGTGTGTCAAGAGCATAATTTTGTTTTCTGTCTAGCGAACTGGGCCGCTCAGCATTTTACACACATTTGCCTGTGCGAACAGGCATTTTCCAAGTGTTTCTGGTTGGACTGTTCATTGCTAGGCTCTGCCAGACACGCAGACCGTCCATCTAGTGCTGATGTAGAATATGTTAATACATAGTTTCCCTTTTCTGGCTTTTTTTTCCTAAGTACCAATAAGCTGGACTACACATATCATATTTTCTAATTATTAGCACTGATTTTGGGCACTGCACTCTGTACGCTGCATTTCCTGAGATGCTCCAATTGATACTGCCTTGCCTTGCTTGGAGGAAAGCTCAGGTGTAAAATGTCAAGGACAAGGTCTGGGGTGGCTCCCCTTGGGGAAGAGGGAGACCCCCCCCTCCTATTCCAGATTATTTGACTAGCACAGGGCACCTGAAGAGTGAACTCAGCTGAAGTGGTTAATGCTGCTGTTCAGCTGCTCACCTCCCCACACATGGTTAGAAATAAAGATTGTGAAAGCTGTAGCAATATTACATGACTGTAAGAAGGAGAGCGAAATGAAAATACCTTCTGTTGCGCTAAACTGCTGTGCTCTTGCTTCCTCTTGCCCTCTCCCACCCCAACCATGTGCTAGTTTTCAGTTTCTGTTTTAAGTGGTAGGCTTCCCCCCCCCCATATGAACTGTACAACCTCTTGGCTCACATTTTGCTCTGTCTGTCTGTCCTTCCTGAGATCCACATTGGTCTTTCTTTAATAATCCATACAAAATGCTCTTTGTATATTATGTTGACTCATACATTTTTTTTTTTTTTCTGATCAGGCTTTTGGCTTGCAGTGCTGCACTACCTCAAACTGCAGTAATAAAGAGGTTCCTTAAAACTCAGTCTGCAACCATTTTTCACATAGTTCATTATTATTTTTATTGTAGCATTCCCAGTCTTGAACATGTCGCCATGAATTCATGCTGTGAATGATTTTCCCCCCCCCCCCACACCAACACCAGC